CAAATAACCATACACTCAGTGCTTAGGACGGCACGGATTTATTACCTGACAGTCCTGCGAGGCCCAGTCCAAAGTGGGCTAAAATCAAGGCATGGGCAGGGCTGTGCTCCTTCTGGAGGCTCTAGGGGAGAGTCTGTCTCTTGCCCCTTTCAGCCTATAGAGGCCGCCCGCATTCCTGGTCTTGTGGCCCCTCCTCCATCCTCAAAGCCTACAGCACAGCACCTGCCAATCCTCGCCTCCCTCTGACCTCTGCTTCCATGCTCACATCTCCTCCTCCCCACCCTCTGACCCTCCTGCCTCCCTCTTATAAGGACCCTGTGATCATGTTGGGCCCACCTGGATATGCCAGGATAACCTCCCATCCCAGATCCTCAGGATAACTCAGTCCCATCTGTAAAGGTAGGTCCCTCTGCCAAATGAGGGTCTGGGGATGAGGATGTGGACATCTCTGGGGTACATTCGTTATTCAGCTGACCACATTGCCTGAAAGGCCACCGTGCCTATGGCTCTTCAGGTCACAGCCGCAGCCAGGGTCACTGGCTCAGCACCTGCGGGGTCCTTGCAGCCGTCTGAGAACAGCTCAGCCCTGCCATCACGTGGGGTGCCTTGGGAGTGGGGCGGAAAGGGTTTGGGTGACGTGTTCCTGCCTTACTTTCTGAGCGAAAATCATTTCTATTAAGGCGATTTGCTCAGTTCAAAGGGGCCGAGATCTCAGAGTGGAGGGAACCCCGGCAGGAGGTTGTCTGGCCAAGTGCCTGTCCCTGTAGGCCTCTGTCGTCCGAGTGGGAGGCCCCAAATCCTTCACCCTTGAGCTGGCTTGCTGTGTCCAGAAGCTGATCCTGGCTGACAGCAAACAGCAGGCACCGGAAGCCTGGGTGCGCTTCAGCGCCCCCACCCCCCAACCCTGGCTCCATCACCACAGCCCCCTGCCACTACCAGACGGTGCAGCTAGGGTGAGAAGGGCTTGGCCTAGCTGACCTGAGCCTGTGCATTTTCAGAAGGAGCGTGGAATTTCTGGAGGGACTAGTGGCTGAGAGAGGCGGGGCCGAGCCCTGCTGGGGTGCTGAAGTCCCAGTGTTCCTGTCCACATAGCAGGAGGACACTTACATCATTACTTTTCCCCCTCTCGGGGGTCTTGGATGGAGGGATCTGAGCTCAGGGGGAAAGGGCCTCCTTCCTGAGCCCTTCAGGTGGGTGCCACCCACCCTGCCCTGCCCATTGGGCATGAGTCTGCCCCCCAGCTGACTCTCATTGGAGGGCACCAGGTCCCTCTGTCCCTTGAGCTTCTTTGGGGCACTGTTGGGGGCCTGTTAACCCTTTGCTTTCAAGCTTCTTCCTGCAAACCATCCTGGCCTTTGTGAAGGTTGCAGTGACGACTTCATGGTGCAGGTGGGGAGGGTTCCTGGTCTCATTTGCAGCCCCCTCTGGGAGGCAGCCTCAGGGCTGAGGGACCCTGGGGGTCTCCCCAGAGTGGGTGTGGCTCGTGCAGGTAGTGAATGGCCCTGGAGGTCCCAGGCAGAGACCCTGGCCTCCTGGGGCTGTTGGTGTCACCTCTGGGTTGCGGGCACATTCTCAGAGCGTGGATGGGCAGCAGGGTTTCCATAGGTGGTGGGCACAGCCTGGTGGGTGGGTGTCATCCGTGGACTCAGGCTTGAGGACAGCTGTGAAGAGCTTCTCGGTGTGTGCTGGCGCTGGCCGCTTGCAGCTAGCTGTCAATAGTGCTCCGATGCCAGAGTTTTGGGATTTAGTCCCGAAGGCGGGCGTTTTCACGGTGATCGTGGGTGGGAACTGGAGGTGGTGGGAAGGCTTGGTGGTCACAGCCGATCATGGACCTGGTGATTGTTAAGCAGAATTAGAGAACCTCGGCTCTGTGTAGCTCCTGGAAGCGAGGGATCAAGCTCGCTATGTTTCCCATGCGGTCGAGGACTTGTCATTTGAAATCATAATATTTTCTCTCAGCGAGGCCACGCCCAGTGGGAGTCTGCCGGTGGCATTTTGAACTGAATGTTGCGTTCCCTCTCGAGGCAAGGACAGCGGGCAGGGCCTCCATTGTCACCCTGGCCAGAGGGCCCCAGACGCTCGGCTCAGAGCTTTCGGAAGAGCACGTGTTTGTCTTTCTCCCCATGGTGACTCCTTGGCGGCTCTCAGAAGCCCCTCCCTCTTTTCAGATCTGTGAACCCGGCTGTCGGGTGGGTGAGGTTGTCGGATAAAAGGTGTCACCTGGGCTGGGCGCGGTGGCTCATGCCTGTAATCCCAGCACTTTGGGAAGCCAAGGCTGGCGGATCACCTGAGGTCAGGAGTTTGAGACCAGCCTGGCCAACATGGTGAAACCCTGTCTCTATTAAAAATACAAAAATTAGCCGGGCGTGGTAGCGGGTGCCTGTAATCCCAGCTACTTGGGAGGCTGAGGCAGGGAGAACCGCTTGAACCCAGGAAGTGGAGGTTGCAGTGAGCTGAGGCCGTGCCATTGCACTCCAGCCTGGGCGACAGAGCAAGACTCTGTCTCAAAAAAAAAAAAAAAAAAAAGTGTCACCTGGCCTGAGTAGCAGGCATGGACTGCGGTGCCTGGGGTGATGCCCATGTCTGCCCTGACCTGGGTACCGGGCTCTTGCCCTCCTCTCCTGGCACCTCCTGTAGTTGGTCCATGCTGTGTATATGGCCCACGCGGTCTCCCCTCATGTTAGCCTTGGCCTCTCTGGCCGGGGCACTACTGGCACTTCCAAAGCTTCCGCCATGCCCAGAGGCCCCGGACCCCTAGGAGAGTCCTCCTGGAGTGCTTCTGGAAGTCTCTCCGGTGGGGGTCATGGCGTGTTCTCTGGGCAGCGCTGAGGCTGCGCAGCTCCATCTGTCCCCACCACTGGCTTCTTCTCTGAGAGCCGCTGTGTGCTGGGTGCTCTGGCCAGCTGGCAGGAGCCCAGCAGCTGCAGGGCTACTGACCCAGGTTAGCCCAGGGGCTGCACACACAGGTGTTCAGGAAGCCTGCGGCCTCCTGCCTGTCTGCTCTGTTCTGTTTGCCTCGATCGCTGCCTGGATTCCCCTGAGGCCCAGCTTGGTGACGTGGGCCTGGAGTGTGGGATGAGAGGCTGGGCAGCCCAAAGCCATCTCCACATCTGTGCTTTCCTGCTGCGTTCCTGCCGAGGGTGGTGGTGGGCCTGGGTGCAGCCCCCTGGGTCTCCAGCCCTGGCAGGGTATCAGGGGACGGATGCCTGGAGCACCACCGGCTCTCAGCTCGTGGTGCATTCTGGGGGTCCTACTGCACCTTTGGGCTTCCAGCCAGCACTTTCTCTATGGCCTGTGCCACGGGGCTGGGGATAGAAGCAGGAGGGCCCAGGTGTACTGTGGTAGGAGGCTTCCTCTCAAAAGTGGACCTGCCCTTGGATCCCTCCCTGTTCTCTTCAGCATGCTTATTCAGGGGGCTTGGTAAGCAGCCGGGGGGACAAGGGTCCTGCGAGGTGTCTGTGGCCTTGGGCTGCTGCTCTGCTCCCCTTGGCCGGTCCCCAGGCTGTGGAAGTCCAGGCAGTGCAGATGCGTGGAGAGTCCTCAGGACCAGGCTGCCCTCGACCCCTTCCTGCTCTCCTATTCCCCTCTCCCACCTTTGAGTGGGGCCTCAGCTAAGTCTGGAACCTGAGGACACGTGGTTCTAAACTGAGCTGGCTCTTGGGCAGGGAGGGTCTGACGGGGTCTGGGCTGCTCTGGGATGGTGGGTGGCACTTCACAGGGGAGGGCACTGGCACAGCGGGGCCTCTTGTCCTGGGATGTGGTGGAGCTGCCCTTCTGGGTCCTTGCATGGGGAGCCTATGGGTGTGGGGGGCCCAGGCTGACCCCAGCTGCATTGGTTTCCCAGGGCTGCTGGAATAAACACCGCAAACAGGGTGGCTGCAAACAATAGAAGTTTCTTCTTTGACCATCTGGAGGCCAGGATTCTGAACCCAGGGTGTCCACAGGGTCACCCTCCCTGTGAACCTGTAGAGAGGACCTTCCTGGCCTCTTCCTTCTGGCCGTCCTTAGTCTGTGGCCTCGTCACCACAGTCTCTGCCTGGTCTTCACATGGCCCTCTCTGAGTGTCTCTTGTCAGGACACGGGCATTGGATTTAGGGCCCACCCTCATCTGGAACAATCTCATCTCGAGCCTGAACTTAGGACAGCTGCAAAGACCCTGTTCCAGATAAGGCTTCACTGGGAGGCTCCAGATGGCCATGAACTGTGGGGACACTCTTCAAGCCAGCATGTCCTCCCCTTCCCTCCCATCGCTCAGACGTCCCCCCACAGCCTGGGCATGGCCATCTCAAAAGCTGTCAGTTTCTCTTTTTAGGGCTTGTGCGTCCTGGTGAAGTGGTTGACACTGCCCAGGAAGCCCTTTGTGGATTTGGACTTAAGAAAACCGTGTGTGGCCGGGCGCGGTGGCTCACGCCTGTAATCCCAGCACTTTGGGAGGCCGAGGCGGGCGGATCACAAGGTCAGGAGATCAAGACCACGGTGAAACCCTGTCTCTATTTAAAAATACAAAAAATTAGCCGGGTGTGGTGGCGGGCGCCTGTAGTCCCAGTTACTCAGGAGGCTGAGGCAGGAGAATGGCGTGAACCCGGGAGGCAGCGCTTGCAGTGAGCCGAGATCGCGCCACTGCACTCCAGCCTGGGTAACAGAGCGAGACTTCATCTCAAAAAAAAAAAAAAAAAAAAAAAAAGAAAACCGTGTGTGCTCCAGGTTCAGTTTTGAAAGGCGCTAGGGGCCCAGCCTGTCCCTGGAGCCCTCTGCTGCTCCCCACCTTCCGGCTGGCCCTCGAGGCGGTGGCTCTTCCTTCCTGAGCAGGTGTCCAAGGTGGGAGTGCAGACCCTGCCTCCTCTGCTCCAGCTCTGGCAGGTGTGGGTGAGGGGCTCAGGGATGGTGCCCTTGAGGCACAGGGGGGTCCTGGGTCTGGGCCCCCGGCACCTGGGAGGCTGTGTTGGCAAGGCAGGAAGGCGCGGGTGCCCAGCTGCTGACCCTTCCCCATTCCTGCCCAGATGTGGACGAATGCCGAACCCACAACGGTGGCTGCCAGCAGCGGTGCGTGAACACCCTAGGCTCCTACCTCTGTGAGTGCAAGCCCGGCTTCCGGCTCCACACTGACAGCAGGACCTGCCTGGGTGAGTGTCACCTGGAGACCCTGCCCGGGCTCCTGGCTTCGGCCATCCCCGCCCTCTGGGGTGTGCCCGGGCCTGGCCTGAGAGGGTGGCTGTGGACGTGGAGAAGCAGAGGCCGCTCTGGCGGTGGCTCCTTCCTGTGGAGCGTGGCTCTATGGAATCCTGGCCGCACCTTGCCCCAGGCTCAGGCCAGGAAAGGGACCGAGCGCCAAGTTGCCGGGTCCCCATAACCCCAGCCGCAAACCCTCTGCAGCCACAGTAAGCCTCGCTGTGATGCTGAGGCCTCTCTCAGTGGACTGGGGAGTGAGCCCGTGGGTGGAGATCCTGTTAAAGATTCTCTGCAACAGAAGCTGCCGTGGTTGATCAGCAGGGACCTGAACTGGTTGTGATGTCCCTTAGATTTGATTTGAGGGAGGCCTGGGTCGCTCGCTAGGTGGTGGGGGAGACTGGCCGAGGAGGCCTGGTCCAGGGCAGGGGCTGCGTGAGGCCACCCTTCGCCTGCAGAACCGGGCTTTGTGGGCCCAGGTGATCCCTGCCCACCCTTGGGGAGCCTGGAGGGTGTGGGCTGTGGCAGGTGGGGTAGGGGTGACTGAGAAGTGGGACCCTGGCCTTCAGCTTCCTCTGCGGGGTCTCTAGGATGTGGGAATGGGCTGGAGGAGGTGTCGGGGACAGGGACGGTGGCTGCAGGGAGGGAAGGTTAGAGGGAAGGAGGGGAGGTGCCAGGCCCCGAGGAACTGGCACAGGGCTGAGCAGGGGGCTGGAGCCCAGGAGTCTGGGGTGAAGAGTAAGTACCCAGTCAGCCACCCTCACCCTTTGGTGCCCCCGCTCCTGGCTGGCTCTGGACACAGGCGCCCCAAGCAAGGACAGGACTGACCCTTTCGCTGGCCTCTGTCTGGGCGGCATGGGGGGTCGTTCTCCGGGTGACCGGGATCAGGACGCCCCTTCTTTCTGCCTTGGAGGCCCGGCGCAGGGCCCAGGCCGGCTCCGAGCAGCCTCCCTCCTGGTCCTGCCTGCGATGTGGCAGGGCGGCCTGCCAGCCCCGGGGCCCCCCCGCACACACTCACATGTCCCGGCCGCCGTGGGGATCCAGGCAGCGGCTCTGTAAAGTTTCCCTGGGTCTGAAAGTAGAAACAGATGCAGGAATGTTGTGATGTACTTCAGGACAACGGAGATGGGGTGCGGCCCCCGCCCGCCGCCCTGCGGGGACTTCTGGGAGCCTGGGGCACTTTAGCCTTGCGCCCCCAGTCCCCTCAGGCCCCCTGGAAGAGACAGCTCTTGGGGCGCATGTCCTATTCTCGACCCTCCTCTCAGGCAGGGTCTTCCTTGTAGAAAGGCAGCCCAGGTGGCAGCCGCTGGGGCCTCTCCTGGCCTCTAGTCCCCTCTCCTGGCCTCTAGTCCCCTCTCCTGGCCTCTAATCCCCTCTCCTGGCCTCCAGTCCCCTCTCCTGGCCTCCAGTCCCCTCTCCTGGCCTCCTACTGTGAGTGGGGGCATTGAAACACTCACTCTCCTAGGCTTTGTTTTCACCATCTGTGTGATGGTGACCTTCCCTGAAACCCTCAGAAGGGACAGGGACCACCCCACCCACCACATCCCACTGCCCACCCGCCCGTCACTCACTCGGCTGGAGCCTCCTCCTGTAGCCGGGCCTTCTGGGATTTGCCTCCCAGGAGGCTGTCCTGGGGATGTCTGCACACTTGGGGCCCCAGAAGTCTTAATTTGCGGTACTCGCCCATTTTAAAGGTTTTCTCTGGCAGATGCCAGGGCCCCTGGGCAGGGCCTGCACAGCCTGGCAGGAGGCTCCTGGGACCCCGGGCCCATCTGGCCGTCACCCCCCAGGGTGCCCCCTGTGTGAGTGGTGGGCTCCCGGTGCCTCCACAGCCTTCTCCAGGGCTGGTGCCCAGCTCCTGGCCTCCTCGCTCCGTGGAGGGCCAGGTGAGACTCGCCTGCATGCCAGCCTGTCACCTAAGTGCGTTCACCTACTCAGGTCTGCTGGACGCAGAGTGGTCACCTTGGAGTGCACCTTCTCTTTCATTTGACTGAGACTCCAAGCAAGGCCTTTACACCGAAGCTTCAGGAAATACAGCCCCGGAGCTGTGATGCATCTGTTTCGCTACGGAAGATGCTGGATGTTTCACCCCCTGGGAACAAGTGGTGACCCTCGCTTTGACAAGAGTGACTTGGGTCCCACTAGCCTTTGGCTGAGTTGAGTTGGAGAAATGCCTTCCTCTCCCTAAAGTCCCTGGTGGTGGCCTGGGCACCCCTGGCCTGGGGACACGTGAAGACTAGCCCCATTCCTAGGCCACCCTGCCTGGGCACTGTCCAGACCCCCTTCCTGGCACTATCTGGGGCATGTTGTCCCCTCGTCCCTTGCCCATGGTGGCCTCTGTGTGCGAGGGATGCCGCAAAGGCTTTGCCTTTGTGGGTGGGGGATACCAGATGGCGAGTTCCTGGGAGCTGACGCCTGCAGGGTCGGGGCTGGTTCCTCAGTCTCCTGGGAGTTTCCAGGATTGGCATGGGTTTGTCAGCCTGGGCCCAGCGGGAGCTGCTCTCTGTGGGGGCCTGAGAAGCTTCTAGAGTGGGGACGGAGTCCCCTGGGGGCCACTTCCCAGGCAAAGCCAGGCGTGTTTGTTTGAGGGCTGCCTCACCGTCTCAAGCCCCTTCTTGTTGCTGAGGGACCCGGCCAGGCTGTGGGCCTGAGACGCCGGCCTGGGATGGGGAGGGTGTTGCGGCATCTCAGCTCCTGGCCAAGGGCTGCCCTGAGGGGGATCTCCTGCGGCAGCTCAGCCTGGGCCTGTCAGAGGGCACTGCCCACCCAGTCTGTGCCAGGCTGCCTGGACTCTGTGAGGGCTTGATGGGGATAGGGCTGGATTTCTGGCCCCTGGGGAGTTTGGAACCCTTCACCCTCCACTGCCTTGCCTTCCTGCCTCGGTGTGGGGGCATCTTCAGGTTCACACTGGCACCCTCTGCCCAGGCCTCCGTCGGCAGGAGTGGCCTCTCCCATCAGCTGTGGGCGGGCTGCTCGGCTGGAACCTGGAGTTGCTGTGGAGCCCCTCCCCTGGGCCTGCCAGGGTCATCCTGGCTGGGAGGGTGCTGTGACCCCTCCTGGGGCTTTGCTGGGGGACAAGGAACATGCCCCACAGGCTTGAGGCTCTGCAGTTGGACTCCCCACTAGCAGCTTGGAGTGAGGCTTGTAGAGAGGCTGGTGGAGAAGCTGCCCAAAGATCCGCCCTTCCTTCCTCAGCATGGGGCCAGAGGTCTCAGGGTGCTGACACCTCCAGGGCCTGGAGCAATCTGGGAAGGCTCCAGAGGAGGCTGTACATGAAGGGGGCCTTAAAACACTCCAGAAGGGCCTTGAAACACACTTGAACTTGCCTCTGAGGCAGAGAGAGGGCAGGAAAGGCACAACCTCCACACCTCCCTGCCTTCTACATGATCTTATGGAAATCAGACACCAAAAGGGTTCCCCTCTCAAAAGCGAATCTACAGGAAGGACGTTGCCATTGGCTCCCACGCTGCGAGAGTGCGGGTCCCCGTTCCCCAGCCCTGGCCGCCCAGTCCTGGTGTGCCCCATTGCCCTGGCCGCCCAGTCCTGGTGTGCCCCATTGCCCTGGCCGCCCAGTCCTGGTGTGCCCCATTGCCCTGGCCGCCCAGTCCTGGTGTGCCCCATTGCCCTGGCCGCCCAGTCCTGGTGTGCTGTATTGCCCAGGGCACCCAGTCTCTGGGGTGGGAAGAGCAGGGCCTAGTGAGGCCCGAGGGCGGGGCCACACCTGCTTCTTATTCTCAGTCCCTGAGCCTGAGTCCGCCCTTGCCTTCCCTGGTGGTGTGGGGAGCAGTGGTCTGGCCCGAGTGTCTGGTTTTCCATTCTTGGTTTTCCATGGCACCCTGCAGAGTGCCAGCGTGCAACACCCAGAGAGGGAGCAGCTCCCATGTGTTCTAACACTGCACTGGAGGCCTCCGCCTCCATGTACCTGGGGTGCTCTGAGCTGGCACGATGCCCGCCCGTGCTCCCGGAGGCGGCCTGGCTGCCCTCTGGACCCTTGCCTTGGACATGGCTGTTCCCTTATGTCCCCTGGGTCGAGCAGCACTCCCAGGGCCTGTCTGAGGGCCACAGATGTCACTGGCTCAACCAGCAGAGGTCCCTCCAGATGAAACGCCCTGTGCGACCCCAGGGAAGAGGTGGGCCCTCTGCCCTCCCCATCTCAGCCCATGCCCATCAGGCCTTTGGGCTGAACACTGTGGGGGAGGGGACTCTGTTGTCACCCCCTGGTGGCCTGGCCACCCCCTGCCTGTGTCCCCCAGAGTTAGATGGACTCATGTGCACACGGCTGGGGAAGGACTCCCGGCCCTGCCTCCCCACCTGGCTTTGCCGTGGGTGTGCTGTGTGCCCTGGGGCAGACTCTTCCCTCCCCGGGCCTGGGTCTCCCCATCACGGCAGTGAGAGGCTGCATAGACCCCCCACCTGGCCCCTTGGTTCCTTCTTGGAGGGGAGGCCCAGCCCAGAGGAGGCTGCTGGCAGGCAGCTCAAGTGTGTGAGCTCTGGGCTGCTCCTCAGATCACACGTGTGCAGACCCAGGACCTGAAAAACCCAACCCAGACTGCGGTTGCAAACTGGGAGTCTGCCTCTCCAGCCTTATGACTTTGAGAGGCTGGCCTGGGCTGAGCCAGTAGGAGAGGGGAGGAGCAGCTGATGGGCAGTCCCCTCAGTCCAGGAGACCACCCTGGGCTTCCGCACATGGGAAGGGGGCCTCTTGTGGCCTTGCCTGAGTCTAGAGGTGCTGGCTGAGGCAGAGCGGGGTGCTTGGGTACAGGGGTGGGGGTGTGGGATGGTTGCACCCCAACCCAGAGAGGCCACGGACCCCTATCTGGGTTCAGAAACCCAGCAGGAAGGTGGGGCACTCGGGCTGGGGGCTGCCTTGCTGCAGTGGGAAGCAGGGCTGCTGCCCTGCCAGGGTGAGAGTCGGGAGCAAAAGGAGGTGAAACCAGCAGAAGGGGCTGAGTCAGGGCCTGTGTAGGGGCCGGGAGGAGTGATGGGAGAGGCCTGGGCCATGCCTTCAGCTGTGGTGAAGGGCCAGGGCTGGCCGCCTTGCTCCCCTCTGACCGCTGCCCGGTGTGCTGGTGCCAGGTACTGCTTAGGGAGTGGGTTGCTGTCCTGACGATATAGACCAGGCCTGCCCTCCCAGGGCTCTGGTGACAAGGAAGCCGCCTTCCTAAACGCTCTGAAGAAGCTGAACCAGTGTGACGCTCACGCAGCCCTGGGTTGGGGCCTCCCTCAGGAGGGCAGGTGGGAGCTGACGCTCAGCAGCGAGTAGGCACATGTGGTGGTGCAGGCGCTGCGGGCATTGGGTGCCCACGGTGCGCCCTGCAGCTCCCACCCTGGAGTGCCCCTGTTGGTCCCTGCCATCTGGCCTCCTTCATTCCACGTGCGTGGTCCAGCTGCTGCCCACTACTCCCCAAAGTGCCCCGTGCTCCTGGTAGGCCAATAGGCGCTGCTAGCACTTATCTCTAGGGACCCACCTGTCACCTTGGCCAGTGGATCTAGACCGCTGCAGCCAAGCATGGGCCCAGCTGACCACCCAGAAAGGCGGGCGCTGGGCAGGACGATCTGGCTGGCCCTGGGCGGGGGTGGGGGCCTTGCTGCAGTGTGAGCTGTGGGGTCAGCTTAGCCTGGCCCATGGAGGGGGATGGTGGGCGTTTCCTTCCCTGCTCCATCTCTGGATGCCTGGTGGCCATGCTGAAGGGTCAGTGTCTGCCTGGTACTCTGTGTTGTTGGGGTGACATCATGGGCTCAGACCCCTTGGCATGTGGACGAGGACAGCCACTCTCACGGGCTGTGAGTCAGTAGTGCCCTGTACCACAAGGAGACCCCATTGAGAGGGCAGGGGACGGGGCAGGTGTACAGGGCAGGGCTGCCTGGAGGGGAGCTGGGGGATGAACACGCACCCCAGCCTGCCATCCTAGCCGTGTCCCCAGCAGAGGGCTTCCTAGAAGGCAGGGCTGCGGGTGACCACTGACCACATGTGGCAGGAGACTCAAGGCCTAGAAACCACCCCAATCTGAGGGCAGTAATTATAAGCCCTGTGAAACCAGCAGGGACCAGAACCACCCTGGAGAGCTGGCCTTGAAACCACTGGGCTGGGTTTGGAGGCTTGGACAGAAGAGCTGGTGGGCCCACATCCAGCCCCTGCCTCGGCACAGCTCTCAGTCAGCCAACGAGCTCAGAGGCTGGGCCTGGCCACTGATGCCCCACCCTCTGTTCCATCCGCCACCCAGGACACTGCGCCTCCAGCAGAGACCAAGCTGGCTCAGGCGGAAGGAGGCCCCTTTACCTTTGCAGAGCTCCAGCCTCACACTTGCCAGAATCCTGGGTGGCGCCACCTCCTGCTGGCAGAGGTTGGCATTGCACCCTAGCCCTAGTGGACCTGCATGTGCCTGGGCTGGAGTGATGTCTCCTAGAATTGGCAAACTGGGGAGTTAGGGCGACCCAGGCAGCTCTGGCTGCCATAATGGAGAGAGTGCTCTGTGTCTCTTCCTTCAAGGACACTAATCCTATCTGGTGAGGGCCCCACCCTCTTCCCTCTCAGAGACTCTATCTCCAAATACATTCACCTTGGGGATTAAGGCTCCAACATAGGATTATTTTAGGGAGGACGCATTCCATTCATTACAGAGTGTCCCCCAGCAACAGTCAGTTGCATCTGATCTGGAAGTGGGCAAGGACTGAAGTTAGGTCTTGGCAGAACAAGACTCCAGAGTCAGGAAGGGACGGAAACGTTGGGCAGGATCGCCAAAGCACCCGGTGCGATTACGCATGCTGACCATCAAACCCTCCCTGGGTGGGGATTTTTTCCTTTGAGAAAACACCACTTCAGTATTAAAGAAGCGAAAGACATGGTAGGGCTTGCCGTCAAGCCCGCGTCTGTCCGCAGGCGAGCCAGGTGAGGGCTGTGGAGCACCGACAGGGAGGGTCTTCCCCCACTGGGAGGCAAATCCCCAGCCCATGTCTGATGGACACACTCAGCTTTGCTGGGTCTGAGCTTGGTCCGCTTTGCAGGGCTGTAGCAGGTGCGAGTCTTTGGCTGTGGCCTGGGCAGGGGTGGCTGGGCTGTGTGTTTTGCAGCCGGGTCTCAGTGTCCCAAGGGTTCTGGACACATCCCCAGCAGTGCTGGGCACTGGCCATGCAGGGGTGGCCCTTCCTGAGCTGCATGTCCCAGTGCTGGTGAAAGTTTAGCTTTCCGGGAATCTGGCACAGGATATATGTGATGACACTGGGCTTGGCTCCCGGCTGTGCACAGCTTGGGAGCATCTGGGGTGTTAGAACTGTATGGAGAGCAGCAAGAGGATGGGCTCTGGGGGGATCCCTGCCTCTGACCCCCGCCCTGGTGGGCTTCAGTGGGTGCCATGCCCGGTGGTCCCTGGGTACGTCTCGGGTCTCTGCCTGTCTGGAGGGGCTGACGAGAAGCCTCTTTCTTTCCCAGCCCTGCCACAGCCTTCTGGGTCCTTGTGGTGCCTGGGTCCTGGTGGCCCAGCCTCCCTGCCATGGGATCTGTGCCCCCTGTGCCTGCCTGGCCCTGCCAGGAGGGGTCTGTTTCCTATTACGTGTTCCAGACAGGGGTGGTGTTGCTGTGGTGAACACAATAAACAGGGCCCCCCGGGAAGGCGGGGCCAGCCCAGGCCTTGTTCAGAGTCCCCTGGAGCCACGGTAGTAGCTTCAGCAGAGATGTCTCAGGTGAGGCAGGCCGGGCCTGGGGGCCAGGACAGCTCCCATCTTGTCTGGGCAGTTAGGTGGATGGGGCTCGGGGCTCGGAGGCAGACAGGCTTACCTGAGTTCTGCCCTGGGCTCCCCACAGCCTGCACGTGTCAGGGCCACGTGGGGCGGGAGATAGAGCCATCACTGCAACCCCCAACAGCCTCCCAAGGCTCGCTCTGCCCTAGGAGGGGACCCTCAGCGCCTGCTCCCCTGTGGGAGACAGGTACGGCAAGCATGGTGGGGTTTTTAAGCCAACTTGCTCTGAGGGGCCTTCTCAGGGCCCAGAGGCAACTCCACTGCTCCAGCCGCTGCCTGCTCCGTTGACCTCTGACTACCCTCCCCTCCGTGGTGCCGGGCTTCCCATCCACCATGCAGCAACAGTAGATGGGTTCCCCAGTCTTGGCCTTGGGCCCAGCCACCTCCCAGGGATGTTGGCAGCCCCCCAGGAGGTGCCCCAGAGGAGGCGGCATCTCAAAGAAGCCTCCCCACTCCGAGAGTCTTGGCGCTTTGGTAATGGGGTTCGGGATTGCTTTGGGCACAGGCCTGGGCAGACGGCCTCCCCTGCCCGGGCACAGGCAACAGCACATTCTTGCGGCTTCCCTCTGAGCTTGGGGCTGACTCCCTCCCTAACCACAAGGCAACTGCCAGAGACGTGACAGTAACCAAACCCCCGCCAAGGGGCTGGCTGCAGCTTCTGGCAGAGGTCTAGTGCCCACCCTGGGTGCCCAGCCTGGCCCAGCACCTTCTCCCCCCATCCCTGGGCCAGCTCAGGGCACAGCCCCATCCATCCACTGGGTACAGGCACCCGTTGAGTCAACCTGACCCCACAGCCCATGCCCTGCAGGAATGTGCATGGAGGAATGAGAGCGAGGGCACTGCATGGGGTCAGCCGTGAGGTGTGGCCTGGCCTGGGGTGGGTAGGAGCTGTACTGGTCCCTTGGGAACTGGGGGCCAAGCATACGGCCCATGGCAACTGTCCATGGCATCCTCACACCTGCCTCCACCCTGGCCTAAGGACCACGGTGGTGAGATGCCTGGGTCTCAGTCACCGCCTGCCAACCTGCAGCCTCCTCCAGGGAGATGCAGCTTGCTGGGGCACTGAGCCCTTACTTGCAGCTTCTCAGAGACCCCTGGCGCTTAGTGTTCTGTGCTGGGGGTGCTGGGCTTCTGTCTGGGTGGGGCCCCCTTCTGTGTCCAGCCCTCGAGCAGGCTGGGGCTGGAGGGTCCAGTGAATTCCCCGCGGGCCTGAGGATTCTGTCTGCGGCAGAGAAGGCAAAACCAGGCCTGTGGGCTGGGCAGGGAGCAGCGTCTGACGGTGGAGATGAAAAGGCGGAGGGGCTTGAAGTGCCCGGGAGGGGTCCTACAGCAGGAGGAAGTGGCCATGCCACTCCTGACTCCATGCCAGCCGGGGACAGACTGTTGGCCAGGCGTCCTCTTGAGCTGACCTGGGGTCCTCTCCGTGTCCCCAGCCATTAACTCCTGTGCCCTGGGCAATGGCGGCTGCCAGCACCACTGTGTCCAGCTCACGATCACTCGGCATCGCTGCCAGTGCCGGCCCGGGTTCCAGCTCCAGGAGGACGGCAGGCGCTGTGTCCGTGAGTGCAGCCAGCCTGGGAGGGAGGGAGGACCTGGGGGTGGAGGCAGGATGAGCTGCCTTGCCTGGGCTGCTAGAGGAAGTGGGTCTTCAGGAGGCCCCCAAGGCTGCTGAAAGGCCTGGTAGGGCATGGCCTAGCCCATTAGGCTGTGCCCCGGGGTGGCACATCTGGGGCCAGGAAGCTCAGGATGGGAGCCGCCTCACTACTGTAGGTGCCCACCTGATGGGGGCTGCCTCACTTCCATAGGTGCCCACCTGAGGCTTGCTGCCCCTGGGAGGAGGAGGCGGGCCAGGCCTGGTTTGGCGCTTTGCTCTGAGTCCTCAGGTCTTCTTCATGGAACGGGGGGGGCTTTGCTGATGGTGACGGTGGGGCAGGCTCAGTGGCCTCCAGAATATGGAAATGGGGGCTGTGGGTGGGGCAGGTGCTGAGAGAACGCCCCCACCTGGCCTCTAGGGTCCTCCCCAGTATGGGCATGAAGGGGCTGGGGTCACAGAGCTGGGGGGCCACCGCCCTGGTGTCAGCGCCAGCACCTGGACAGAGAAGGGTGGTGGGAGGAGCTGGCCTGGGCTGCGGCTGACCTGGGCTGGCTGGCCTTGTCCTGAGACTGCAGAGACTTCTTGGCGTCTTGGGGGCTTCCCGCACCTGGGAGGAGGGAGACCCACTGCCCAGCCCATCAGCCTGGAGCACAGAGTGGGGAGAGCACTGGGTGAGGGGGTCTCACAAGAAGCCTTGGGGCAGGTGCCCTGTCGCCACTGGGATCCCCTCTCTCCAACCCCCTCCTTGGGTCCGTGGCTGCAGGGAGAAGCCCGTGTGCTGACAGGAATGGCGGCTGCATGCACAGGTGCCAGGTGGTCAGGGGCCTTGCCCACTGTGAGTGCCACGCAGGCTATCAGCTAGCAGCGGACGGCAAGGCCTGTGAAGGTAGGACGCCCCTCCCCTGCTCCACCCCACCCAGGGTCAGAAAGCACGCCCAGGCGCTGTGGAGGGACCTGTGTCTAACTCTGGGGCTGTGGCCTCCCATGGGACCAGGCCCTTTGGGAGCAGGGCTGGCCCATGGAGGGCAAGGCTGGCCCTGCCTTGCCCCCCTTGGGTGACCTGGGATGTGACGGTCTCATCTCCCTTGCTGGGGGCTGAGGGGCGACGGTAGGAAGGCTCGCCAAAGGTGCTCCCAGCCTGAGGATCCTTTCACCAGAAGTGCACCACGGAGCCCAGGTGTTGCTTATAGTTTTTAAACTATTGTATTTCCTAAGTAGTGCCTGCCTGGCAGGAACACCAAAGAGAAGAATAAGAGAAAAGGAATGAGCCAGGCACGGTGGCTCACACCTGTAATCCCAACACTTTGGGAGGCCGAGGAGGGAGGATCGTTTAAGCCCAGTTGCTCAAGACCAGCCTGGGCAACGTGGCGAGACCCTGTCTCTAAACAATAATAAAAAAAAAATTAGGCAGGTGTGGTGGTGCTGTCTGGAGTCCTAGCTACTCGGGAATCTGAGGCAGGAGGATCACTTGAGCCCAGGCAGTCAAGGCTGCAGTGAGCTATGATCGCGCCACTGCACTCTAGCCTGGGTGGCAGAGCAAGATTCTCTCTCTCTTAAAAAAAAAAAAAAAAAAAGTCCAGGCATGGTGGCTCACACCTGTAATCCTAGCACTTTGGGAGGCCGAGGTGGGCAGATCACTTGAGTTTAGGAGTTCAAGACCAGCCTGGACAACATAGTGAGATCCCTGTATCTACAAAAAAAATAAGAAAACCCAACTAGCCGAGCATGGTGGTGCACACCTGTGGCCCCAGCTACTCGGGAGGCTGAGGCAGGAGTCCCAGCTACTCGGGAGACTGAGGCAGGAGTCCCGGCTACTCGGGAGGCTGAGGCAGGAGAATCACTTGAGCCCAGGAGGTTGAGGCTACAGTGAGCCATGATTGCACCACTGTGCTACAGCCTGGGTGACAGAACGAGACCCTGTCTAAAAATAAATAAATAAAATAATAATAGTAAAATAGAACTAAAGAAGAAAGGAGACGTTGTTGCTGAGCCCAGGAAACCCCTGGACGTGTGGGGTGGGCTTCTGCTTCTTTGCTGGGGCTGTTTGTGAATGTGCTTGTTTAGAGTCAGGTTGCAGGCAGGTGCCATTGTTTGGAACCCACTGCCACACCACGCCACCCTCTGCAGCATGGCTGGGGAACGTTTATTTGTTAACCCCTCCCTGCACGTCTGGGTGTTCCTGACTCTTCCCTGGGTCAAGCAGCCTTGGGGAGCGGTTTGGCTGCCGCCACCCTGGGGGTCCACAGGGTGAGTCTCTGAGGCAGCGGGGTGTGTCCAGACCAGGCAGTGGTCAGTTTCCAAGGGTATTAGTCCATTTTCTTGCTGCCAATAAAGACATACCCAAGACTGGGCAATTTACTAAAGAAAGAGGTTTAATGGACTTACAGTTCCACATGACTTGGGGAGGCCTCACAATCATGGCGGAAGGCCAGGAGGAGCAAGTCACACCTTATGTTGATAGCGGTAGGAAAAGAGAGCGCTTGTGCAGGGAAAACCCCATTTTTAAAACCATCAGATCTCATGAGACTCATTCACTATCACGAGAACAGCACAGGACGGACCCGCCCCCATGACTCAGTCACCTCCCACTGGGTTCCTCCCACCACACGTGGGAATTGTGGGAGTTACAATTCCAGGTGAGATTTGGGTGGGGACACAGCCAGACCATATCACCAGCACCTGCCGGATGGCCACGGGGTGTCGTGGTGTGTGGTTCCACGTCTTCGCTGACACCAGGAAAGTGTTGCCTGGGTAATGGCACCTGGTCACTCAGTGGGCTTAGCGTGAGACCCATGTGGGTGCCGACTTCTTCATCCCAGGGGACCTGCAGGGCTGTGACCAGTGGTCGTCAGGGACAGTGGGATTGGCCTTGAATGCCTGTGTCATGTAGCCACAGGCCCTGGGTGTCAGCGGGCTGTGCGCTATCTTCCACTGGCCCCGTGCAAAGGCCCTTCCCGGCTCCTCTGAGTCCTCCCCGTGGTCTCTCCCCTCCAGATGTGGACGAATGTGCCGCAGGGCTGGCCCAGTGTGCCCATGGCTGCCTCAACACCCAGGGGTCCTTCAAGTGTGCGTGTCACGCGGGCTACGAGCTGGGCGCTGACGGCCGGCAGTGCTACCGTGAGTGGGCAGCCGGCAACAGGTTGAAGGTGCCCGGGATGGCCATGCCACTCCCCAGGACCCCACGGCCTGCTTTGGTCGAAGAACAAAGAGCTTCCTTGTCAATCAGGGGCAGCCCTGCGTATGAGCCCTTGGTGGGCAGAGGGTCGAGGGAGGGCAGGGAGTCCCAGACCTGACAAGGCCTGGGAGCTCCATGTTGCTGCTTCCCATGGGTGTCCCCGGACCCGAGGCTGGCTGCTGGGTGGAGGTGGGGGGAACCAAGGTAGGTGGTGGTCATCCTAGCCGCCATCCCACATCCCGCGTGGCTGGTCTCATGGCAGGTATCGAGATGGAAATTGTGAACAGCTGTGAGGCCAACAACGGTGGCTGCTCCCATGGCTGCAGCCATACCAGCGCTGGGCCACTGTGCACCTGTCCCCGTGGCTACGAGCTGGACACAGATCAGAGGACCTGCATCGGTGCGCACTGGCTCCTCCCAGATGCCCACACCCCACTCCAGGGACCTGCTGCTGCCCTGGGTCTGGGATCAGTTCCATGCCATGACTTGGAGATCCTCTTCTGTCTCCCTGAGTCCTGGTCTGGCTGCCTGGGCCCAGGCGGGGTGGTAGGGCAGAACTGACAGAGGCAGCACCCTGGCCAGGAAAGACCCTAGGTGCCCACATCAGCCTGCAGGGCCCATACCCACGGTCATGGCACCCCCTTACCCCGTCAGCACCTCCTCAGTACTGCCCCATCACCTGGGAAGGACCCAGTGTCCTGGGAGTCACACCCCAGACCCTGACTCTCAGATGGAGCCCCACCCTCTAGCCCCAGTCCCAACACCTTGTTCCCAGCAGACAGGCGGGTGGCCCCGGGGCTGTGACATGTGTCCTGTGTGTGTGTGTGTGTATGCGGGACCAGGAGCATGCATGTGCGTGGGTGTGATTGTGTGGTGGGTGCTATTGTCTGCAGGTGCCATTATTTAGGTGTGCACGCGTGAGACTGTGGGCAGGTGCACATGCAGTAGGGCACGTGGGTTCTGTGTGGTTGTATGCAGTTGTATGCAGTTGTGTGTGGGTGGGAGCGTGTGCACATGCAGGTGCCTGGTACCAGGGGGCCCGTGGTGTGTGCCCACAGATGTTGATGACTGTGCAGACAGCCCGTGCTGCCAGCAGGTGTGCACCAACAACCCTGGCGGGTACGAGTGCGGCTGCTACGCTGGCTACCGGCTCAGTGCCGATGGCTGCAGCTGTGAGGGTGAGCACTGCCCTGCCACTGCACAGCTGGGGTGGCCTGGGAGCAGGGCCGCCCTAAGGAAGGACACGGGGCTGGTTCTGGTCCCCCCGTGGTGGGCATGGGGTCAGCCTGCTCTGTGCCCTGCTGAGGGGCTGTGGGTTCTGGTTGAGCACCTGCTGCATGCAGGGCTGTGGGTGTTGGCTGAGTGCCTGCTGCATGCAGGACTGTGGATATTGGTTGAGTGCCTGCTGCATGCAGGGCTGTGGATATTGGTTGGGCGCCTGCTGCATGCAGGGCTGTGGAAGCTGTAGACAGGGCTGTGGATATTGGTTGGGCGCCTGCTGCATGCAGGGCTGTGGGTGTTGGCTGAGTGCCTGCTGCATGCAGGGCTGTGCTGACCTGCCCCCTCCCTCCCTCTGGCCTGAGGTCACTGGCCGCTCTCTCCTGGAGCTGGGCCTGTCCCCCTGGCTGCTGCCTGGCCGGCCCCGCCCAGCCTGGCCCCTCTAGCAGGTGTCTGCCATGGCTCTGACCCTGGGGTGGGAGGGTGGCCAGAGTGGCCGCTGTGGCTGGGGGTGAGTTTTACTGGCTGGTTCAAGAGATGAGCCACTCACCTCTGGCAGGGCCACCAGGGCTTCAGCCCTGCAAATGGGACTGGGTGGGCAGGGGCCTCCCTGGTTCACCACCCGGGAGCACAGGCCTCAGCAGCCCCGGGTCACCCGCAGATGTGGACGAGTGCGCCTCCAGCCGTGGTGGCTGCGAGCACCACTGCACCAACCTGGCTGGCTCCTTCCAGTGCTCCTGCGAGGCCGGCTACCGGCTGCACGAGGACCGTAGGGGCTGCAGCCGTGAGTCTCCTGCCCTCTGAGGAGCACTGGCCTCTGCCTTCTCGAGTTTGCCCCAGCTGACCCTGCATCCCGCAGGCCTGGCCCGCCCCACCCCCACCTGCCTGGGGTCCTTTGCCCCTGGCCTCTCTGGGCCAACACCACCTCAGAGGCTCTTGGGCCCCTGGGGACCCACTGGGGTCCTGCCTCTTCTGAGGGCCATGTGGGGATTGAGGACAGTGGGGTGGGGGAAGCTGGTGAGACAGGCATCCTCCTGGAGCCCAGCACCTGTCCTGACCAGGTGAGAGAAGGGACCGAGACCTAAGGTGATGTCCCTGGGACTGATGGCAGCTGCTCCCACCTCTACCCCTCTAGGCCCCAGAGTCCTTCGAGCTGGGATGAGCCTGGGGGCAGAGGGGCAGGATTCAGGTCCTCAGGGCCTGGAGCCTTCTCTCCTGAGAAGGAGGGTCAGGTGCAGCTGGGATGACCCCAGGACCAGGCTGAGGAGGTGGGGGTAGTGGAGGCAGTAGGACAGTGGCAGGGGCCCTGGGGTGGGGCTCAGGCCCAGCCCTACCTGCCGGGGAGTCGGGCAGGCAGGTGGGTGGCAGGGGCTAAGGGGCCTCTGTGCCCCTGGCAGCCCTGGAGGAGCCGGTGGTGGACCTGGACGGCGAGCTGCCCTTCGTGCGGCCCCTGCCTCACATCGCCGTGCTCCAGGACCAGCTGCCGAGACTCTTCCAGGATGATGACATCGGGGCCGACGAGGAAGAGGCAGAGTTGCGGGGCGAACACACGCTCACAGAGAAGTTTGGTGAGCACGAGCCCAGCCCCCGGGGGCTCCTGCTTGCAGGGCCGGCAGCCAGCGACCCCTCGGGCTAGGCTGCCATCCAATCAGAGGTTGGGGACGTGAGGAAGGACCCCTGCAATGCCATGTGAGACCAAGGCCCAGAGAGGTTGAGCCACTGGCTCAGTTTGCACAGCTCATGTGGGCTGAGCCTGGGCAGGACTGGCCTTGCAGGTCCCAAGTTAGGGCTCCTTTTGGCCCCAGCATCTGCCCTCATGTCACCCTTTTGGGGCCCTCATGGGCTGAGGATGCCCCTTATGCCCCTTCCCTGGCGTGAGGATCTGAGCCAGGCCTCTATGCCTGCTGAGGCCAGGGGTCAGGCTCTGAACACCCCCATCCTGGTCTGCCCCCCAGTCTGCCTGGATGACTCCTTTGGCCACGACTGCAGCTTGACCTGTGATGACTGCAGGAATGGAGGGACCTGCCTCCCGGGCCTGGATGGCTGTGACTGCCCCGAGGGCTGGACTGGGCTCATCTGCAATGAGAGTGAGGCGGCTGCACAGGGGCTGGGGGCCGGGAAGGGGCCTCTGAGCCCCAAGACCTGGGGACAGTCCTTTGAGCCTATTCAGTTTTATTCCTGCCTGCTGGCCTTGGGCAGGGAGACCCGTGCAGATCCATTCTTTCATCCATTTGTTCAGTTCTTTGATAAACATCCCCTGTCCGTCCACTCTGTGCCAGGCACTGTTCCAGGCAGCAAGGATTCCCTGGGAACAAGCGAGCCAAGGTGTTCATCCTTCCTAAGTATCAGTCTTCACAGTCGAGCAACAAGCAAGCCAGCAAATAACTAAGACAGTGAGGGCTGTCTGCTGAAGGGCAGATGGCAGGTTGGGTTCCTCTAGCTCAGATGGCCGGGGGCCCGTAATAACTGTGAGGCTCTGCCTGTTTGAAAGAGCTGGTTCAGAAGGAGGAGACTCCTGTCTCTGCTGGCGTACAGAGAGAGGAGTCAGTGATCGATTAGTGGTATCTCCCATGAGCATGGGCAGGGGTGATGTGGCACAAGTGCCATCATTTTATCTCTAGGCAATTCCTTCTAAACCCAGAGCCTCCAACCCTAGGAAGGGGTCTCAGAGTGTCGTGCTGGCTGGTGACCCTGACGCTTCCCTGTCACTCTTTGTAGCTTGTCCTCCGGACACCTTCGGGAAGAACTGCAGCTTCTCCTGCAGCTGTCAGAATGGTGGGACCTGCGACTCTGTCACGGGGACCTGCCGCTGCCCCCCGGGTGTCAGTGGAACTAACTGTGAGGATGGTGCGTGCAGTCTCTTCTGGTGCTTCTGGAATTACCCCCTGGGCTGTCAGGGAAGTGGGAGGCACCACCCCTCCTTGTCTCCTTCCTCCCACTGGAGCAGGGAAACTGCCACCAAACTTTTCCTAGACTCCCTTCCCTTCCTGCCTCCCCGTCTCCAGAGCTTTAGGCTGTGCTTGAGAGGGAATGAGGCCCTTGAGTGAAAGGGGTGTTGCTTTTTCACTGTTGCTAATTTTCCCAGGGCCTGACTGTAGCAGAGGATAAGACTTTATAGAGCAACACTTTTAGAATGGGTTCCCTTGGGAGGCAGTGAGGTCCCCGTTCCTGGAAGCATTCAAGTAGAGCTGTGTGATGGCTGGGTGAGGTTTGCAGAAGGGATTACTCAGGGGCCAGTAGCTGCAAGGGATGATGTTGATGTCCTTATTAACTCTGAAGTTTCAGCCTTTCTGGAGGAATTAGTCCAGAAAATGTTTCCCAGGTGGTTAAAGCTTCATCTTTAAGTCTCCAGACTTCATCATTTCTGCCTCTTTCGCTGGAGAGTGCAGCTAACGTATCATAAACTTTCTGCCTTTGTGAGAAGAAGATAGCCAGCCCTAGAACCTGTGCCCCATGCCCAGGTGGCCCTGTGAGCTTGCCTGGCTGTGTGTGCTGTGCTCTGCAGGGCTGGTTGCCTGGTGGTTGTGGGGACCCCGGGCAGCTGCACAGGGCTTCCTACCTCTTCCCTGTCGGCGTGCCTCCCTTCCCCACTTTGTCTGCCCTTTCTATTCTACAGGGGGCTGGGGAACCCCCGTATTCATTCCCAGGCACTGCACCCCTGGGATTGTGCTGTACCCTCCAGGCTGCCTGCAGCATCGAGGGGTCACCTCCTCTTCTCTAGGCCTCCTCTTTCTGTCTCAGCCTCCGCCTGCCTCTCTGATGAGGACATCTGTCTTTGGGTTCAGGGCCAACCTGAATAACGCAGGGCTACTATGGCAAGCCCTGTCGCAAGAAATGCAACTGTGCCTAGTCTCCAGGTCCTGGGGCATAGTCTCCATGTCATTATCGGGGCACCTTCAGCTTACTACTGCCTTCAGTACGAGGAAAGACCTGGGGCAGGACCTAGCCAGAAGGAATTGTTTGGGGAAGAAAGGCGAGGACCTTTCTAGCTCTGGGGCCACCTGTGGCTTGGGCCTGGGACCCTGGCCACTGGGGCCACGTGTCCTTCCTGCTTTGAGGTTCTGAGGTCAAGCTTAGTGGCTGCCATGGGACAGAAGTCAGGCGGCTCCTGATGGGAGCCGGACTTTGGGGAGAGTGGAGCATGAGCTTTGTGCATCTCACCAGTGTGCGCCAAGGAATGTGCTCCTCCACCCGCCCTTGCCACAAACCCTGGGGGCAGGGGATGTAGGGGACGGACCAGCCAGGGCAGACAGCCAATCCTGGAGGCTCACCTAGTGCCCTGGTGGGGGCTGCTCCCAGCTCCTGTGCTGGGCCCTGGGTCCCTGAGCATCCTGCCACGTGGGAGGACCACATGTGGTAGGCTGGCTGCCACCAAGGTTCTCAAGGAGCCCCGCTGCTCCCAGGCTGCCCCAAGGGCTACTATGGCAAGCAGTGTCGCAAGAAATGCAACTGTGCCAACCGGGGCCGGTGCCACCGCCTCTACGGGGCCTGCCTCTGTGACCCGGGGCTCTACGGCCGCTTCTGCCACCTCAGTGAGTCTCACCGTCCCTTCCGGTGTCCCCGGCGGCCGCAGCGGGTGGAAGGGATGGTCTGTGTCCTATTACCTGTAGTCTGGGTTGGGATGAGGCCATCAGGGCCCAGCCAGGTCACCCACTGGGATGTGGGTCTGGGATCTGCCCTGAGTCTGTGGACTCCAAGCCACATCCTCTCGACGGCAACTGTGCTGGCATCCGGGGTGTCTGGGTGGACAGTCCCCAGCCTCGTGGTGCCTCCCAGCCCTGATGGGTGGGAGGGCTGCAGATGAGGGCAGGGCCAGGCCTTTTGCAGAAGCCTCCAGGGGATGAAGCCTATCTTGACTTTTGGAGATTCCTGGCAGCAAGGCCAAGCTCTGAGTCCCTGGTGGGGTCACCCATCCCTGGGATTCAGACACTCAGGGAGGAAGGGGCGGTGGGCTGCAGGGGGAGAGGTGGATGAGGACAGCTCCCTGCATGATCTTGGCTGTCCTCCTGGCTGACCCAGGGCTGGTGGAAGTGGTCTGGGAGGGCAGGGCTTCAGACGGGAGCACCCCTCACGGCTCTGTGGGTGCAGCCTGCCCGCCGTGGGCCTTCGGGCCGGGCTGCTCCGAGGAGTGCCGGTGTGTGCAGTCCCACACGAGGTCCTGTGACAAGAGGGATGGCAGCTGCTCCTGCAAGGCCGGCTTCCAGGGCGAGCGCTGTCAGGCAGGTGAGTCCACACGTGGGGTTTGGGGGGCGCCAGGGCCGGCTGACCCCACCCACCCCTCTCTCACACCCTGCAGAGTGTGAGCCGGGCTACTTTGGGCTGGGGTGCCGGCAGGCGTGCACCTGCCCAGTGGGTGTGGCCTGTGACCCCGTGAGCGGCGAGTGTGGGAAGCAGTGTCCTGCTGGCTTCCAGGGAGAGGATTGCGACCAAGGTGAGTGGCTGGCTCCTGGGGCTCCCGGCGGTCTCGTTGTGGGTCTAGGCTGCCTGCCTGGCTGGAGGGTGGGCTTCAGAAGGGCTGCACAGCTGTCACTATCGGCCTCCTTCGCCTGAGCTCAGGTGGTGCCTTGCCTTGATAGCTTGTCACACAGCAGGGGTGCGGCTGCTAGTCTGAGTCTGGTCTGCTTAGGGCAGGTCTGCTCTGGGCCTGGCCCAGAGAGGGGTTGGTGCTTCTCCAAACTCCTCCCTTGCCTCGACTGGAACAGACTGTGGGCTTCTCTTGGAGGCTGGGGCAGCAGCTCCCTCCTCACATGTGAGCTGGCAGCAGAGGCTGCCCCTGGAGGTGGTGGTTCGGAGAGTGGTCTGGGCTGCAGTGCTGGCCTGGGGTCGTGGCTGCAGGCCCCTGCATGTGGATGCTGTGGCCTAGGTCTAGCAGGCACAGAGCCTGGGAGCCCCACACTCACATGGCAGGCAGGGGAGGAGGCTGTTAGGAGCTGGCTAACAGCTCCTAACAGAGAGATGGACCAGCTGAGTCCATGCTTAGGTATTCCTGGGAGACCCGGGGACTAACTCCCTGAAGTGATTCCAGCCCAGCGTGCATGGGGCTGGAGGCTTTGCCAAGAGGGCTAGGAAGGTGGGGGTGTCCTGGCTGCCCCAGCTTGCACTGGCAGGAGGTGCAATGACCAGGACAATAGCATGTGGTCCTGGCCAAGCAGAAAGCTGAGCAAGCTGATCTGAGGCTCAGAGCTGCGGGATGGTCACTCCTCAGTCTCATGACCGGGGTAGGAAATACCCGAGTGTGTCATCGGCTCATGAGGGGAAGGAAGACGCCCTCGGCATGAGTAACGGAGCTGCCGCAGCGGCCACCGACAGGGCCTGGGCAGGTTGGAGCCTCCCTTGGCGCGGCGCACGGTGTCCACGCCCATTGGCCAGGAGAGACGGGAGCCACGAGGGCGTGCCGTGTGACCAGCATGACCACGTCCTGGGCTGGAGAGAGAACGAGAAGCCTGGTGCCAGGCCCCTCCTCTGCCTCCCTTGGGGCCGTACCGGGGGGCTGTCTGGACTCAAGCCCCCCCAGCATGGGCCCTTCCCCTCCCCACCTCCATCTGGGGAATGAGAAGAGGCCCGCAGAGGGAGCAACGTCCACCCAAGGACCCACCAGCCAGCTCTTAGGCCACCCTGGTCCCAGCCACTAAGGGTCGGAGCACTCTAGGCCAAGCCTCCCAACCTGGATGTGCAGGAGCTCTGTGGTCTCAGGCCGGCGTGCAGTGGCTCTGAGTGCCCACTTCCCATCTGTGCACAAGCCCTAGGGCTTCGTGAGTGTGTGGACGTGGGACTCAGCTCCTCCTGACTCCCTGGCATCCTCTCCCACCCTTCCTCCCACTCCCCTCCCCAAACGTGTACACACATGCGCGCACACACCACTTACACACACACACGAATGCAGGCAGGTACATGCACACACACACCAGCAGTTCACCCTCCCCTGATGCCTGTGACCCTCCTTCCACTCCCCGATCTCTACACCCGAGACAGTGAGGAGGCCTCGCCACAGACGCACTTCCACCGCTCCCAGAGCCCCCAGTTCCTGAGAGGAGGAAGGCTCCTGCCCTGCCCCTCCTCCGCTCCTCCTCTGCCCCTTCCCCTCTTTTGTTTAAGAGGCTCCGGTGCCCCGAGGATAAGCCGCAGGATGACATCTGAGTGTTGACATAAAGATCAACACTCTTTATTAAGATAACATCCCCTCTTGTTGTTGGGTCTGGAAACTTCCTGCCCTGCACTCATCTGCCCCAGTTTGTGGAGGGGGCTTCCCTGAGGCCCTGTCGGGCTGCTTTGAACAGCGACCCCCCAACCCTGTGAACACCACCTAGTGCCCCAGGGCACGCTGAGTGCCAGGCCTGTAGTCCCAGGGACGTCCCTGTGTCCCTGTGGGCGGGTGCCCCCTGGGGATGGGCCCTGGTGACAAGGGTTTACCGGCGTGTGTACTCAGGGCCTCAGCGGGGCCAGGCCTGGTGCTTTACCTGTATTACCAGCGCTCCTCCCCAGGCTGGGCACGTCCTGGCTCTCAGCCCCGCTGTGGGCTTCTGACGCGTGGGCTCTGTGGAACTTGGGCGTGCAGCACGGGGTCTCTGTCGACTGCTTTCTTGGGGCTGCTGTGATGCCGTTGTGAGCCCAGGGAGAGGTTCAGTTCGAGCAGCAGGCAGGAGCATCGCAGTGACTGCGCCTTGCTGGGGGAGGCAAGAAGGCTGCCACCCCAGCTCCCGGCCCAGCCTCATGCTCTGTTGTCCTCACAGGGGAGGCCAAGGCCAGGCCCTTAAGGGCAGGGCAGGCGTGGGAGACTAGAGGAAAGCTCTGCCAGGGAGGCCGATCCAGGGCTCCCAGCACCCACGGCTCTGCCAGGCCATGGGACGCGGCCCCTGCAGGCCCTCTCCAGGGGTCCCAATCCTCAACCCCCATATTCTTTCCTGAGGTCCCCCTTCCTGGGATGCTCTGACTCCCTGGCCTCTGTGCTCCCTGGGGTCTCATTCACCTGCCGGGTGGAGGAGGGGGACCCTAGGCCTCCAGGAGGCCACCTGCCCTCTCCATTCTAGCCCTATCCCACAGGGAAAGGGCAGTGGCTCTGGGGGTGGAACGAGTAGGTGCACAGCCTCCCCAACCCTAGGGCCGAGTCCCTGGAGGGGCTCCCAGCTGGATGTAGGGGAGTAGGAGAGACTGGACCAGCATCGCCAGGTTGGGCTGGGGGCACACTGGCCTGACCAGGACAGGTCCTCTGGTGACTATGGTGGCGGAGGAAGAGTAGGCCCTACCTCGGGCTCCCGGGAGCTCTCCAGGGTCCTGGACAGCTGAGGGATCTGCTTCAGCCTCTCCCAGGCTGCCCCAGCAGCCCTGCCCCTCCCCTCTCCTCCCATCTGTCAGCTCCCCTTTCACCCCTCCCTTGCCTGTTCCTTTGACCTGCCTGGCCACTCTGGGGACCCCAGGTGTGCTCAGCAGCCCCCCAACCCCGGGGCTAGAGCCAGAGCCCATGTGGGGAGGTGTGGGAGGCACACTCGCCAGGAGCCCCTAGGTGAAAGGCTCTGGTCGGGCCGCTCCACATGGCGTGGCTGAGGCCCCTCGTGCTTCTTCCTGCAGAGTGCCCGGTGGGGACGTTTGGCGTGAACTGCTCAGGCTCCTGCTCCTGTGGGGGGGCCCCCTGCCATGGGATCACAGGGCAGTGCCGGTGTCCGCCGGGGAGGACTGGGGAAGACTGTGAGGCAGGTGAGTGTCGGCCGCAGCCCCGGTTCCACCTCCCTGGGCTGCACAGCTCCGAGTTGATGGGGTCCTGAACTGTGGAGGCCCCAGCCCTGCGGATCCCAGGCCCACCTATAGCAGATGTGAGAACTCACAGTGCACTCCCGTGGGGTAGGGAATGGGGGTCTGTGGCTGCCCCACCAAGCCCCTGGGGCCTACAGGCTGCTCTCTCGAGCTGCTCCCTCTCTCCATGTGGCTCCCAGTCTCTAACGGGCTCGGCTCCTTGTGTTGCCAGCTGAACTGTGCCTGGGGCTGGGGTTCCTCTCCCATGGTGGGCACCCCGCAGCCTGCAGCCCCAGGAGGCGCCCGGGCCCTCTCTCCTCCCCAGGGCAGGCTGAGATGGTAACAGTGGTTCTGCCTCCTCGGCTGTGGCTCCGGGGCATTGTGCCATGTTGTGTTTATTGATGTGTTGAACAAGGACAGCTTGGGCACTGACTGGCCATGGGGGGTGGGTGCTAGATTGTCCCGAGGGCCGCTGGGGGCTGGGCTGCCAGGAGATCTGCCCAGCATGCCAGCACGGTGCCCACTGCGACCCTGAGACTGGAGCCTGCCTGTGCCTCCCTGGCTTCGTCGGCAGCCGCTGCCAGGATGGTGAGTGAGCTGGAGCCACCCCTGAGCCTTTGACCCGGGGCAGGCGGCCAGGCCCCACTCATCCTCTCTCTCCTGCCTGTAGTGTGCCCAGCAGGCTGGTTTGGTCCCAGCTGCCAGACAAGGTGCTCTTGTGCCAATGATGGGCACTGCCACCCAGCCACCGGACACTGCAGCTGTGCCCCTGGGTGGACCGGCTTTAGCTGTCAGAGAGGTACAGGGACCCTTGGCTCGCCCTTTGTCCAGACGTCCCTCCTTTCCTAGCCCCTGGAGAGGCCTCCGCCCAGGACCCCTGAGGACTGGGGGCTTGCATGAGGCAGTGCCCCAGTCCTGAGATGCCCCTGTGCCTGACTTGGCGGTGGTACCTGTGGCCTGCATTGGGGCCTGCTCTGGATGACTCTGAGTTCTGTTGCAGCCTGTGATAGTGGTCACTGGGGACCTGACTGCAGCCACCTCTGCAACTGCAGCGCTGGCCACGGGAGCTGTGATGCCATCAGTGGCCTGTGTCTGTGTGAGGCTGGCTACGTGGGCCCGCAGTGCGAGCAGCGTGAGTCCTGGCCCTGCCTTTGGCTGCGCCCCCCTCCTGAGCACACACACACAGAACCTTTGGCCACACCCCCTCCCATGCACGCGCACACGCACAGAGGCGCGCGCACACACACATGAACACACACAGAACCTTTGGCCATGCCCCCTCCTGTGTGCACACACACATATGAAGCCTTTGGCCACACCCCCTCCTGTGCACACACACGTGCACATGCACGCACACATGAACACACACAAAACCTTTGGCCAGTACTCCCTCCTGCGCGCACACACACACGAAGCCTTTGGCTGTGCTCCCTCCTATGAGCGCACACACACATGCACATGCATACGCACACACAGCCTTTGGCCGTGCCCCCTCCTGCGCACCTACACACCCCAACACTTGCACACACACACATGCGCACTGCGGCTGGGCCCTGGCCTGGCTTCCTCTGCCTTCCCTGAGCTTTCCAGCGCCCACCACCCCACTCCACAGCCCGGACTAAAGTCTAGCCTGGACTAAATGATGCCCCCGCTGTGCGGAGAGTGTGTGAGGTCCCTGCTTAGCCCAGGGTGCTGTGGGGGCGGGGTGCCGGGTCCTCCGTAGGAGACTCCCTCCTGCCACCTGTCCTGAGTGACCGAAGCTGCCAGGCAGCCCCCCGGGAATGACGCTTTGCTCACTTGTGCCAGAGTGTTGTTTCTCTCACCGACCTGCACCAGGCTCACCGGAGCTGCAGCAGGAAGGGGCAGGTCCCGTCCCCCACTGCGGGAGGCCTGGCACCTGGGGGATGGAGAAGGGGTCTGCTTAGGACTGAGGCTGGTGTCCCCCAGTGTGTGCCCCCGAGGCTTGGTTGGTGGAACTGGGGGAGGCCTGGGTCGGGTGTCCTAGAGGCAGCCCCTGCAGAGTTCCCATCCCTAAAGCTGCTGCCTGGAGCTCCCTCAAGCCTCCCGTGGCCCCACCTGGGTGGGGATGAAGCGTGTGAGTGAGCCCAGTCTCCCTTGGGTGAGAAGGGGCTTCTCACGAGCCAGGCCTGTCCCACAGTCCTGGGGAGGGCGGCAAGGCCCAGGCACGGCTGGGTCAGGCTCCTGGCCCTCTGACTGATGGTGGGCCGGGGCCGCATGTCTCAGGGTGTCCCCAGGGCCACTTCGGGCCCGGCTGTGAGCAGCGGTGCCAGTGTCAGCACGGAGCAGCCTGTGACCATGTCAGTGGGGCCTGCACTTGCCCGGCAGGCTGGAGGGGCACCTTCTGCGAGCGTGGTGAGCCAGGGCACAGGCGGGGGCTAGGCTGGGTGGACTCCAGTGTGGGCCCCTTCACATCACTGCCCCCTGCCTGCAGCCTGCCCGGCCGGCTTCTTTGGACTGGACTGTCGCCATGCTTGCAACTGCACTGCCGGAGCCGCCTGCGATGCCGTGAATGGCTCCTGCCTCTGCCCCGCTGGCCGCCGGGGCCCCCGCTGTGCCGAGAGTGCGTAAGGTCCCTGCTCAGCCCAGGGTGCTGCAGGAGGGGGTGCCGGGTCCTCCGTAGGAGACTCCCTCCTGCCACCTGTCCTGAGTGACCAAAGCTGCCAGGCAGCCCCCCCTGGGAATGACGCTTTACTCACTCGTGCCAGTGTTCGTCCTTTTTTGTGGCCACTCTGCTGAGTGGGTGGCCTGAGCCAGAAGGGAGGGGAGAGTTGGCCACAGCAGTCGAGGGGACCCTGGCAGATCTGCCCAGCTGCCTGTGATCTGCTGCCAACCCCTGGGGTCCTGTCCACCTCCAGCTCTGACCAGCTCTCTCCACCTGCAGCTTGCCCAGCTCACACCTACGGGCACAATTGCAGCCAGGCCTGTGCTTGCTTTAACGGGGCCTCCTGTGACCCTGTCCACGGGCAGTGCCACTGTGCCCTTGGCTGGATGGGGCCCTCCTGCCTGCAGGGTAAGCCCCACCCAGGAGTCCAGGGACCGGGGTCCAGGCCTGAGTGAGGGTGCTGGCCTCTTGCGGGGCCCAGAGGACACTTGGTGCCTGCGGGAGGGAGGAAGGGGCTGTTAGGACTGAGGACCATGCCTTTCACCTGTGCCCCTCTCCAGGCAGGGATGGTGAGTCAGGCTGAGCTAGCAGGTCATCCTAGAGGCAGCCCCCTGCAAGGTCCCTGACCCCAAGGTCCAACATGGGGCTGGAAAGCCAGACAGACCCTGTGGGGCCAGCTGGCTGGGGGATGCAGGTTGCTCCCTCTTCCCCGGCCCCAGCCTGCCCTGCCGGCCTGTACGGCGACAACTGTCGACATTCCTGCCTCTGCCAGAATGGAGGGACCTGTGACCCTGTCTCAGGCCACTGTGTGTGCCCGGAGGGCTGGGCCGGCCTGGCCTGTGAGAAGGGTGAGTCCTGGGCGGCAGAGGAGGGACATAGCCCAGCACGCCTGGTGCAGCCCTGTCTGCAGGCCTAGGAGGGCTCCCAGGTCAGGGGGCAGCACCCTGGGGTGGGGACTTTGGCCCTGTGTAAGGGAAGCATGAGCCAGGGTCTCCTGGACCCAGGAGGCAGGACCCTCACCCTCGTGCCTGCCTCTGTTCCTGTAGAGTGCCTCCCCGGGCACGTCGGAGCTGGCTGCCCGCACAGCTGCAGTTGCCTCAACGGAGGCCTGTGTGACCCGCACACGGGCCGCTGCCTCTGCCCGGCCGGCTGGACTGGGGACAAGTGTCAGAGCCGTGAGTGGGGCGGGGCAGCAGGGCAGTCTGGAGGCTCTGCTGAGAAGGGGTGGCATGAGCCTCATTGCAGGGCTGAGGACTGTGCCCGGGGTGGGGCCTCACCAGGGGATCTGTTGTCCTGTGAGTGCAAGAGCTGCCGTCTGAGCACCAAGGGTTCCTGTGGGGGGGGCTCAGCCTAGGAAGCTGGCCTGTGGGGAGAGTGCTGCTGCCTTGCCTTGGCAGGGGTGTGTGGCCCCGGCCAGCCCTGTGGTGGGTGGAACGGAGGATGCTCTGGGGCTCGGGGGCCGCTGCTGTTCCCTACATGCAGAGAGGGGCCCCTTCACCCCTTGTCCTGGAGCCTGTGCTGGCTGTGGCTGCTGTGCCAGCAGGGCCTGGTTCACCCAGCAGGGCCTCAGCCTCTCCAGAGCCCAGACATGCCAGGGCAACACTGCCTCATTCCTCAAAGCTCCGGCTTCCCACCCAAGCCCCTAACACCAGCCCCCTTCCAGCAGGGGCGCCGTCCCCACTGCTTGGGGTGCAGTGTGGGCGGCCCCTTGCTCAGGGCTGGAGCCTTGGGTCTGCTGTCTGAGGGAAGCCTGGGCACTCGGCTGGCCTCAGGGCCGTCGCTGGCTCCTGTTGCCTCAGTGCTGAGCCCCGGCTGCTATCTCCCTGCTCCTTCGCCTTCCATGGGGCGGGGCCGCTGGAGGCTGAGCTCTCAGCCCTGTCTGGTCCCTGCAGCCTGTGCCAAGGACACATTCGGGCCTCACTGTGAGGGGCGCTGTGACTGCCGGTGGGGAACCACCTGCCACCATGCCACTGGGGCCTGCTTCTGCCCTCCAGGGTGGGGGGACTCGAGGTGTCAGAATGGTGAGCACAGACCCCCGTTCAGCCAGCACCGGCTGGGTCCTGCCCACAGCGTCCACTCTGGGCCTGTCCTGGCCCACCGATCCCCAACAGACCCCTCCCAGGAAGCCTCCCCATCCCTCATCTTTCTGCAGCCTGCCTGCGGGGCTGGTTTGGAGAGGCCTGTGCCCAGCGCTGCAGCTGTCCACCCGGCACTGCCTGCCACCACGTCACTGGGGCCTGCCGCTGTCCCCCTGGCTTCACTGGCTCTGGCTGCGAACAAGGTAGGTGCTCCCAAGCCCCCACCCCGAGGAGGGACTGGGTGGGGGGAATCCAGAGAGGCCACCTGTTCCTTGATTGGGCTGGGCCAGGACCGACCCTGCCTGTCTGCATCCAGCCCGCCCACCCGGCAGCGTTGGGGAGGACTGTGCACAGATGTGCTGGTGTCCCGGTGAGAACCCAGCCTGCCACCCCGCCACTGGCATCTGCTCATGTGCCTCTGGCTACCACGGCCCCAGCTGCCGGCAACATGAGCGCTGCCCATGCCCACCCGGGGGCTCGGGAGTCCTGCTGGGCCCAGTTGCCCTGGTCCCCGGGAAGGCCGTCGTCTGAGGGGGTGGAAGATGGAGCGTGTCGGGGCCTCACGAGAGCTGCCTTGCTGTGTTCAGGGACGCTGGGGAAGCCTCCAGCCCCAGACCCTGCAGCTGCCCCTCTCCCTGCAGGATGCCCGCCCGGGCGGTATGGGCCAGGCTGTGAACAGCTGTGTGGGTGTCTCAACGGGGGCTCCTGTGATGCGGCCACGGGGGCCTGCCACTGCCCCACTGGGTTCCTCGGGGCGGACTGCAGCCTCAGTGAGTGGCTGGTGGCAGCAGGGCTGAGTGGTGCCTCCTGTGTCTCCGGGGTAGGGCCAGCCAGCCTGCAGGAGGACGGCCCCCAACTGCCCACCTCCCTGCCCTTCAGCCCCCTCTGGCGGGGCCTGGCCCCAAGTGGAGCTAAGCCAGAGGGGCAGCCTTGGGGGTGTCTGTGACACCAAGTCCCCACCAGGCTTCTGCTAGCTCTGTCCCTGCACCTGCTGTGCCTGGCGACCTGCGCCATGTCTGCCAGGGGCTTGAGCACAGCTGGGCACAGAGGTCAGCTGGGCAGCTCAGCTGTGGCCAAGTGTCCTGCCAGGAAACAGGCCTTTTCCCTGAGTTGTGCAGGGAGTTTCCCTTCTGGGACCCGGCAGAGCTGGCGGGGTGGGTGGGGGTGGCAGTGAGTCGCTGCAGAGCGGGTGGCAGCGGCCGGACCCCCAGCAGGCCCTGTGGGTGGAAGGGAGATGCCAGGATGGGTGCATGGGAGCTGGCTGGCCCCACCCTGTCTGGGGCAGACCCAGGGTCCCCTCACCCCATCCCATCGTGTCCTATCCCGTCTCCGGGGTTGACTGGGCAGGGAGAGAAGGGAAGCCAGCTACGCTCACCGCTTCCTCCCCGGCAGCCTGTCCGAAGGGCCGCTTCGGCCCCAACTGCACCCATGTGTGTGGGTGTGGGCATGGGGCGGCCTGTGACCCTGTGACCGGCACCTGCCTCTGCCCCCCGGGGAGAGCCGGCATCCGCTGTGAGCGAGGTGGGTGTTCACTCTGGAGGGTGTGCTCACGGGCCCCTCAGAGATGTCACTGATTAGCCATGGGGACGCTGGAGGGTGGGCCCAGCCCAGGCACCCACACATCCTGGCTGCCACCGGCTCCCCACTTGACCGTGGGGCTGAGACGAGAGTGCTGTAGCTTGTGTTGACTGTGCTGCCCTACTTGGGGGGATGGACCATCCCACGCCACCCCAGCCCCTGCCTCGACACTCTGCTCCTGAGGCTTAGGCCACCCAGTGACCCCATCCTCATCGAAGTGGCCGTGAGGGCTTCAGGTTCCTACCCAGCGCCTGCCTGGCCCCTTGCAGGAGGGACCGGGTGGCTGTCTTCTGCCTGAGGGTGGAGTCCTTCCGGCCCTTTCTCCCAGACCCAAGGCCCAGGGACCAAAGTGGAGGCGGTTCTAGAGCACAGTCCAGAGTGAGAGACGGGCTGGACCCAAGGAACAGGTGTGGTGGCTCCTGCTCCCACAGGCCCAGTCCCCATAAACACAGCCACAGCCTCTTGGGCTGGTCCCACCCTTAGTCTGCATCAAGGGGCCGGCTGCCCCTCACACCAGTTCTTGGCCTTCGGGACCCGTTGGGAGCCTGTGGCAGCAGAGGGTTCAGGATCCCAGGGCCCAATCTCCAGCCGGGATGTAGCCTGGCCCCACCTCGCTCCCAGGAAGGGTAGTGCCATTGGGCTGGTCATCAGGCATCAGCTGTAACAGCAGGGCCGCAGCTGGCCACCTCTGAGCCCACAGCAGCCCAGCCGTGTTACTTCTCAGGCCTGGAGGATGTCCACTCACTCCCAGCCGGGAGACAGCTGGTTCACAGTGGGCCGCTGCCTCCATGAAGCCTTCCGTAAATCCCTTCCTGCAGGCTGGGCAGGCGCTCACCCAGACCCTCCATGACTGAGCCACCCTCAGTTCCTAGACCAGGCCTGAGAAGTAACATCTCAGGTACTTGGTAGCCTGAGATGACCAATGAATGAGAGGATGCGGCTGGTGCCACTCCCTGGCATGTGCCTGTCCAGCAGGCAGAGACTGGCACTGACAGGCCTCAGGAAGCATTTGACTGTCAGCCTGTGGGGACACGTCCCCGGAGGGAGCCCAGCCCTCGGCCAGAGCTCCAGGCAGCACTTGCCTTCTGTCCCCAGGCTGCCCCCAGAACCGGTTTGGTATGGGCTGTGAGCACACCTGCTCCTGCAGAAACGGGGGCCTGTGCCACGCCACCAACGGCAGCTGCTCCTGTGGCCTGGGCTGGACAGGGCTGCACTGTGAGCTGGGTGAGTGCGTGGGGCCAGTGGGACCCCAGCATCCCCTCAGGGATGTGCCCTGGGCTGCCATAGGGTTGGGCAAGGCTGGTGCCTGAGGACTGTCCGCCCTTTTCTCCCCACCCTGCTCTGTCCCCAGCCTGTCCCCCTGGGCGCTATGGAGCCGCCTGCAGTTTGGAGTGCTCCTGCCACAACAACAGCACGTGCGAGCCCACCACGGGCACCTGCCGCTGCGGCCCCGGCTTCTACGGCCAGGCCTGCGAGCACCGTGAGTTGGGGGCCTGTGCAGCTGGGCTGGGGCCCCTTTCAGCCACTGTCCACTCCTCCCATGTGGGTGATCCGGGCTGCACTGAAGTAGAGAGGTGGGGAGCCAGCAGCAGTGGGGAGGGATGAGGAAGGGCAGGAGGGGGCTTCTCACGGGTCCCTGAATTGGCGGGTTTTAGTCATTCCGGGCAAACTGGACATTTCTGCCGCTGTGTGCCCTTGTCTCATGGTAACTGGCATCCTTCAGCCTGTCCCCCTGGCTTCCATGGGGCTGGCTGCCAGGGAGTGTGCCAGTGTCAACATGGAGCCCCCTGTGACCCCATCAGTGGCCGGTGCCTCTGCCCCGCCGGCTTCCACGGCCACTTCTGTGAGAGTGGTGAGTGCTTCATGCCCTCTTCCTCTCCCCGCCCTGAACCCCCGCTCCCTGGCCCCATCCCATCTGGGTACGGGGCAGGAGGGGACACTGAGCCCCCTGTCCCCACCAGGGTGTGAGCCAGGTTCATTTGGAGAGGGCTGCCACCAGCGGTGTGACTGCGATGGGGGGGCACCCTGTGACCCTGTCACCGGTCTCTGCCTTTGCCCACCAGGGCGCTCAGGAGCCACCTGTAACCTGGGTGAGTCTGGGGTTCTGCTCAGGAAGGGCGTGGATGTGGGTCTCCAACAGTGACCAATACTGATTGGTTGGGCCCTACCTGTGCCAGTCCTGGGCTGGGCACTGTGCCCTCCTATGGCCTCTGCACCTGGCCCATGCCCTCTGGGGGGGTTGGAGTCAGCTGCTGGGACATGCAGTGCCAAGCATGGCGCTTGGGCTGGAGCCTTAGGCTAGGCTCTGCCCTGTGGGTCCCACAACGTCCCAGGAAGCCCATGGTCATGGGAGGGGGCTCTGGTTGGGTGGAAAGATTTCCCTGGATCGGGGGACATTGAGGGGGCTGTGGCCCCTCCAGCCCAGAGGGCCCCACCTGAGGATAGAAGGGACTCACCTGAGGATAGGAGGGACTCACCTGAGGATAGGAGGGGCCCACCTGAGGATAGGAAGGGCCTACCTGAGGATTGGAGGGGCTCACCTGAGGATAGGAGGCGCTCACCTGAGGATAGGAGGGGCTCACCTGAGGATAGGAGGGGCTCACCTGAGGATAGGAGGGACTCACCTGAGGATAGGAGGGGCCCTGCTGCTGGGGCTGCATACCTGGCCTTGTGGTTCTCAGACCTGTTGTGCCCTGAGGGGGCATCCCTGACCACTGGCTCCCGTTTGCCCTCCTGGGGCAGGGCAGGAACACAGTGGTGACTGGGTGTGTGCCTGGGGCCTGGGCTTTCTCATGCAGGAGCTCACTGGCTGCAGAATGTACCTGAGGAAGGCAGGGCAGGGACTGTTTACTCCTCAGGGGAAACCAAGGCCCAAGGTCTTGGCTCCCACACACACACGGGCGGAAGGCTTCACGGCACCTGGGCTCTGCCGGGGGCCCCTAGGCCCAGGGTCCCTGGCGCAGGGAAAGCAGGGATGATGCTCAGGTTTGTCTCCCACGCCCTCCGCCTTGCAGATTGCGGAAGGGGCCAGTTCGGGCCCAGCTGCACCCTGCACTGTGACTGTGGGGGTGGTGCTGACTGCAGCCCTGTCAGTGGGCAGTGTCACTGTGTGGATGGCTACATGGGGCCCACGTGCCGGGAAGGTGAGCTGGGCTCCCTGGGGAAGGGCGGGAAGGCACCATCCTCCCATCAGCACCAGCTCCACCCTGGCCAAGGACCCCTGTCTGACCTACTGCAGAGTTGGCCAGGTCACCCTATGGCTATTCAGTCATAGTGAATGTCATCTGTCCCCAGTCGGTACCCAGAGTGTCACTTGGCTTCCGACGGGTGGAGTGTGAGCTTCACAGTCACTTAACCAGGGCATGGGGTGGGCCATGCTGCCAGCCGGAAACGGCTTTCCCAGCCCCAGCAGCTGCAAGACTGGGCTGCAAACTGCACCGGCGGCCTGAAGAGGGTCATGACCCCATGGCTGGGCCGGACTATCCACAGTGTGGATGCACTCTGGCTATCCCTGCCCCTGCTGCCCCCCACACACATGAACCAGGGTGCGAGGGTGTGTCTGTGCACGCATATGCAAGTGTGAGCAGCAGGGTGTGTGTGCATGTGTGCCAGTACATGTGTGGCATCCAGTGTGCGCCAGTCCATGCATGCAGTCCTGCACTGGCAGCAGGCGCCTGTTTGCGTCAGTGCCTGTGTGTGAGGTGTGCATCAGTGTGTGAATGTGGCCAGTGCGTCTGTGCAATAGTGCCCGCATGTGCTGCAGGGGGCAAAGGCATGTGTGCCAGGCATGTGTGAGCGTGCACCAGCACCTGTGTGAAGGTGACTCCTTAGCGCCTAAGCCCTTGAGGCTGCCCTGGAATGTGCTCTCTGCCTGCAGGCAGTGCTTTTGGGATGCCCCCACCCCTCTGGCCAGCCCAGACTTTGCTGCCCGCCCCTTCGAACCGAGGACCCCGCAGCAGTGTTGGGAAAGGTGGTCTCTGCAGAGGGAAGTGAGAGGCAGGCTTGGGGCGCATGCAGGGCAGGACATGTGGGCGGGGCAAAGGCCGGGCGCCAAGCTACAGGCTCTGCCTTTTGGCTAACTGGGGATTTCACACTTGGGGTCCTCGGCTCAGAGGCCCCCAAATCGTCTTGGCTTTGTGTATGTGTGCATCTGTTTGTGCCTTTCTAAGGCAGTCCTGGCTACAGATTGTTCAGAGCCTGAAGACAGGCGAGCCCCGATCTCGGTGGGGCGGGGCGGGGCGGGGACGGGGCGGGGCAGCAGCCTGTGCGCTGGTGCAGCGGACAAAAGGCTGTCCGGCAGCGGCATCTAGTGGTCAGATATGGTACTGCACCACCGGCTGCCGGGCACCTGGGCTGGGTGCTGGGGGCAGTGCCTTGACGTTGAGCTGGAGGCCTCGGGAGCCTGGGGCCTCATGGGCAGGGTCTTGCTGGGCGTGGGGAGTCCTGGGTCCTGTGCCCTCCCCTGGAGTGGACTTGGCTTGGCGTTGGGTAAAGCCCCTGATGTTACGGGTAGTGGGGGCTTGGAGGGGCTGAGAGCTTTCCTTTGGGGAGAGGGAGAGCCCCCGGCCGCCCCTGTTCCTTCCCTGAGTGCAAAGGAGTGAGAAGGGAAGGAGGCTGTGCGGGGAAAGTGAGGTCCGTGGAGCCTGGATGGGGTCATGCCTGGCTGCACTCAAGGCTGGGGGTACTAACATGGCTTGCCCTCTCTCCGCTCCAGGTGGGCCCTTCCGGCTCCCCGAGAACCCGTCCTCAGCCCAGGGTCCAGGTAAGGGGTGTGGGGAGTGCCTGTGGATTTGCCAGAAGGGTGGCTTATGGAAAGTCAAAGCAGAGTGCTGAAGCATAATCTGGGCCCCACAGGGCAGCAGCTGCACCCGGGAGCTTGGGGCCCAGGAATCTGGAGCTCAGAGACCAAGGCCGGGGCCAGAGCTGGGAAGGACAGGCTGGGAAGGATGGGTGGGCCCCGCCCCCGCCCCGCCCCGCCCCGCCCCGCCCGGCTCTGCTGGGCTGAGCTGCTGAGGGGAGGGGTGAGAGGGGGAGGTGCCAACCCAGAACCCAGTCTGTTTTGGGAGCACCCGTCCCGCCCTGGACTGGGCCTCCTTTCTCCTTTTCCCCAGTAGCCACACTGCCCGCCTCCAGCAGACGCACGTCCCGGAGCAGTGGACCAGCAAGGCACTAGCAGAGGTGCCCCGTGGAGCCCGCCTCTCCATTCCAGCCAGACGGGACCCAGGCCTTTGGTGACTACTGAGGACACTTCATGGGCCCAGAGCCCTTGGTACTGCCCTTCCTCTGAGGGCCGTGGAGGGCTGTGGACAGCCCAGCAACCTGTTGCTCTTGGAGGCTGGTGTGGCCTTGAGGAGGGAAGCCTTGCATGGCTACTGGAAGAGAGGCACTGCCTGGCCTGGCTCTGCAGAACCTAGGGGCACGCTCTGGGCCTGGGCTGAGAAGGCCCCACTCTCCCTGCGGCTCTGAGTCGGGCTGAGGACAGGTGTGGGCGCCAGTGTGGGCGCAGGTGCGGGCACAGGGCCACTGTCCTCCAGGCAGGCTTTTTGGTGCTAGGCCCTGGGACTTTAAGCTGCCCAGCCCGTATTTATGTAAAGGTATTTATGGGCCACTGCACATGCCCACTGCAACCCTGGGATCAGCTGGAAGCTGCCCGTCATCTCCTGCCTGATGCCCAGAAACCCTGATTCAGGTCTGCAGGGTTCTGCAGGCTCACCAGGCTGCTGGCGCCGGTACCGTGTAAACCCAGGAAGGTAAAGGAGCAGGCGGCCTCCTCATGGCCTGTGTGTTTGCTGCGTTACGTGGACTCTGTGTGAGCTCCTCCCTGGGGCCTGGCCAGGATAAGGGTGCACATGGGGACCTCCCAGTGTACCTGGGACCCTTTGCAGGGGTGGGGGTGCCACACAAGTGAAGAAGTTGGGACTCATCTCAGTTCCTGGTGCTATTGGGGAGAACGCTGGGGCTGCATTCATTACCACTGAGACCCCCTGAGACCCAGAGAGTGGCTGGTCCCGAAGAATGGCCCAGGGGGAGGAAGACTGGTGTGGAGGGGCAACCTGGACTGAGGCCGAACTCCCTTGGGCCTACCCCACCCACCCCTACCTGAGCATCAGCAGTCGGGGGGAGGGCAACATCACAGGGATGGGGCAGGGGCTCCCTGGGTGAGTACAGGCCGACCCTCCCGAGCACCTGGCACTCAGGCTGAGGCTGATGTCTCCTGGAAGAAGGGCCCAGAGTGGACAGTAGAGGCAGAGGGTAGAGGCGGTGGCTGGGGGCTCCTCTGCAGGGTGGGGTGGCCAATGGAGATGGCTGCACTCAGACTGCAACACAAGATGTTCTCTCCCTTGAAAAGGCCCCCTTAGGGTCTGGGCTGCTGCCCCCCATCACCCTAAAACCAGCCAAGGTAGCTGAGGCCCCAGGGCAGAGGATTTCACCAGCAGCAGGAGGAGTCCAGTGAGCTTGGTTGCTCACAGATGGCAAGGGAGCTGTCACAGAGGAAGCCAATGAATGGACCGCCGTGGGGAGACTGTGAAGTAAACCAGTGATAAGGGAGGGCAGGATGGTGGGGATGCGGGAGCAGCAGACGGAGAGAGATGGACTGTGGTGCAATGGAGTGTGGAAAACGCACACCTGGAAATGAAGCATCCAGCAGATGGGGTGAGTGGATACAGCTCAGGAGATTCTCCTAGGAATAGCAGGGAGGCATAAAGAGAGGCAACGTACAGAAGATAGACGAACGGAAATGGATAAGGGAGGTGTTCATTCACCTCCATCTAACTGCAAAATACAAAAATAAGAAGTCATTGACATGAAGAACGATGACCAAGACATTCTCAGATCTAAAGGTGAATGATCTCAGTCAGACTGGAAATGCACAAGGTGGAAGAATAACAAAAAAGCCATAAGACCTTGAAGAACATCAATGTCAAAGATAAATTCTAAAGTCCCAGAGAAAAAAGAATGGGAATCGAATTGACCCCAGACTTTACGCGAGAAACACGGAGAGCCAGAAAACTGTGATTTTCCATCCTCAGAGTTTGAAGGAAATATTTGAAGCCTGAATTTTATGTCCAGCTAAACTATCAGGGGCACGCAAAGTCCATGTTATTCTTAGGCCTTCAAGGCCTCGGCCGGTTTTCTACAGAAAAGCCTGATTTGAAAATGCTCTTAGAGACATTCTCCAGCCAGAAGAGAAAGCAGCCAGGAGGGTGCTATGAGATAATCAGTCACCACAGTTCCCAAATGGCCCAGCAATTCAGAGAATCAGAATATCCCCATTACTCCCCAGTGAGAACCCCCGACAGTCTCAGCATGGTGTGAGGGTGTGGACAGGGGCAGGTGCCAATCACTCATCCCGCTCAGTGAAGACACATGCTCAGCTACAGGAAGCCGTAAGGCAGGCTGAGCTTCTGCCCACCCGGAGGAAATCTCAGCTATCCAACGGCAGTCAGGAACAGAGGAGAATAAAGCAGAATAACTAGAAAACGGGCTCACAGATCCTAATGTTAACGGTTACAAATGACGATGGAAAAACAAACTCCTGACCGTATATTATATAGTTTCAAATAGCTAGGAGGATACTGGACATTCTCAACACACATAATAAACGTTTGAGATGACGATATGCTCATTACCCTGATTTGATCACTAGACATCCCATGTATCAAACATCACTATGTATCCAATGAATAGCTATAATTATTGTCAATTAAAAACATTAAGCACAGACTAGACTGCATTAAAAATATACTAAATAGTATTTTCACTATAAAAGACATGCTTCAAAGGGTAGAAATACAGACACGCAGAGTAAACCAAAGGAGAATTGGGGCACGCGTTTGAATATTTCAACGTGAGAAGCATCGTGACAGTCTGTAAATGTACATACACATATACGCACCCAGCGAGGCTCAAACATTCATTCAGCAGTGATGGATAGAACAGGTCAAAATAAATCGCTATCGTGGGTGATTTGAGTGTATGTTTTACAAAAACCAATAGGTTAAGAATGTGCGCTTTATAAAAACCCATAGGTTAAGCAAGTAAGTTAGCAATGACAACCTGAATAAGCTTGAACACACATGCTACATCTCTGTTTATCCTTACGTGTTTACTGTATTGACGTACACGTACCTTTTCGGTGTAACAATATGTATGAAGTTAAGGGGGTACATGTGCAGTTTTGTTACATGGACATATCGCATGGTGGAAGAGTCTGGGCTTTAGTGTTACCATTACTGAATAGTGTACATATCTGCCCATGAAGTAATTTCTCATCCCTCCCACCCTCCCACCCTTCCAGTCTCCAATGTCTGTTATTCCACTCTCTGTCTGTACACGTTATTTGGCTCTCACATATAAAGGAGAGCATGCAGTATTTGACTTTGTTTCTGGGTTATTTCACCTAAGATAGTGGTCTTCGGTTCCATGCATGTTGCTGGAACTTATCCATGGTGTGTGTGTGCCTGCAGACACTGCATGTCCGTATTACATGGAATGTGTGTGTATATATATGTACAATTCACACATGCGCGCGCACACACACACCTCCACACACCACATCTTCATCCAGTCATCCACTGATGGACACTATCTTTGCTAGTGTGAACAGTACTGTGATAAACACATAAGTGTGAGCATCTTTTTGATATAATGAATTCCTTTCCTTTGCATAGACGCCCCGTGGTGGGATTGCTGGATCGAATGGGAGTTCTATTTTTAGTTATTTGAGAAAAACCATAGCATTTTCCATATAGGCTAAGCGAGTTCACATTCCCACCAATAGTGTATAAGCATTTCCTTTTGTCTGCATCCTCAGCAACATGTTATATTTTTTGACTTTTTAATAATAGCCATTCTGACGGTGTGAGAGGATATTGTGGTTTTATATTTTTTATTTTTTTGAGACAGGGTCTCACTCTGTCACCCATGTTGGAGTGCAGTGGCACCATCTCGACTCACTACAACCTCAACTTCCCGGGTTCAAGTGATCCTCCCACTTTAACCTCCCAGGAAGCTAACTACAGTTGCGAGCCACCATGCCCGGCTAATTTTTGTGTTTTCTCTTTGTAGAGACGGAATTTTGCCATGTTGCCCAGGCTGGTCTCGAACTCCTGAGCTCATGCAATCTGACCGCCTCAGCTTTCCAAAGTGCTGGGATTACAGGTGCGAACCACTGCACTCGGCCTCGTTGTGGCTTTAATTCACATGTGTCTGATGATGCGTGATACACTTAGGTTTCTGTGTATAAACTTTACATTCAGCAAGTGGAGAATAATGGAATGCTTAAGAAAACCAAAATTTCCTTCTTTGAAGACTAAGAAGCAAGAAAACACCTTGCAAGACTGATTTTTTAAACACAAGAGAAAAAAATACAGAAGAATCAACTGCAGACACAATAGAGAAGAAGGCATAAAAATTATGAGCAACTATCTACCAATAACTTGGAAAACACTTAGAAAAATGATAACCTGGGGGAAAAATGCTGAGACTGGTGTAAGTAAAGGTTAAAATTGCATATCAGGCGGTGGCCTAAGAAGAGATAAGGAGTCACGGGAGAGCTGCTCCTTCCCTCTGCCCATGGGAGAGCCGCTCCTCCCTCTGCTCAGCCCCAGGGATCCTGGCACAGCTGTGGCGTGCATGGTTACACCAGGTGTACACCATATACTTGTCGACCAGGACTCATTCCAGAGATTTTAAATGGCGGAAAAACAGCTCACCTCATCCCACAAAGGCAGCGGAAACTTGGTTCTAAAACCGAGAGAGGACAGTTAACAAGGAAAGGTAACTGCAGACTCATTCCATGTAGGCAAAAATCCTAAATCAAATATTAGCTATCCAAGTAAGAGTATTTTAGCAAGAACACTGGCCTGACCCAATGGACCAGATCAAAATCAAGGACAATTTCACGTCAGAAGATGCGTCGGTGCGTTTGGGTGAGAAGAGAAATCAGATGACTGTACTGATGGCAGCAGAAAGAATGTTGGACAGAGGTCAATGCCTGTTTGGGATAGAAATTCTTGGAAACCTGCCAAAGGACCTTTTTTTTTTTTTGAGACGGAGTCTCGCTCTGTCGCCCAGGCTGGAGTGCAGTGGCCGGATCTCAGCTCACTGCAAGCTCCGCCTCCTGGGTTTACACCATTCTCCTGCCTCAGCCTCCCGAGTAGCTGGGACTACAGGCGCCCACCACCTTGCCTGGCTAGTTTTTTGTATTTTTTAGTAGAGACAGGGTTTCACCGTGTTAGCCAGGATGGTCTCGATCTCCTGACCTCATTATCCGCCCATCTCGGCCTCCCAAAGTGCTGGGATTACAGGCTTGAGCCACCGCGCCCGGCCCAAAGGACCTTTTTAAATAGTGGTTAGGTGCAAATGTCATGTTTAGGGGAGAAACCGATGAATTCAGGTCTGTCCAAAAGATGCCGCCCAGCAGGGCCTGCTGTGCCCACTGGGGTGACGGTCGTCTGGTCCTGCTATACCTCCTCCTAGCCTTCTACTCTTCACAACCCTGCCATGACATCCTGTGTCTTTGCTAGGCCTTCCCCATCACAGCACAAACTCCAGAGGCAGGGGCTTAGCTGCACACCCGGACCACCCGGAATTGGACCTGGGGAGAGCACGATGAGTGCCGTCACAAGAGTGAATAAAGTCAAATCAGAAGATGCCGGCATCAGCCTCGCTGCCCCCCACCGCCCCAGCAGAGCCCCAAAGGCTGCAGGCAGTACCTTCAGACGAGGAGAAGCAACTGAGGTATAAGGATCCCAGAGGAAGACACACCTGCCGTGGTTCTCAGGGGACAAGATTCTCTCCACAGAAAACCCCAAAGGGCTAACAGACATTGTTATAGCTGATAAGGATTCAGCAAGGTTGGCAATAAAATCCTATAAATCATGGAAAATGTACAACACGTGTAAAACCTATAACATCAATAGTGCTTCAACACCGACAATAACCAACAAGAAAACTACAAAATAAGACACCGCTTAGCATCGCAACAAAACCTGTAAATCTACAGGAATGTATCTGGCAAAAGAATTTCTGGATTCTTTCAATTCTTCTAATAGCGTTTATAAAGACCTCAAAAGGCCTGAACAAATGACAACTGGAAGGCACATGTGACGTGAAAAATGTCACTTCCAAGCTGTGTCGGATGCGTTCCAGTTTGCTGGAAAGGCCTAGCAACGGAGCCCACAGGTGGCATCTGGTGGGCAACCTGCCATGTCTAAAACGGACAAAGGTCTGGGGTCAAGAATGGCCGAGCCGAACCAGAGAGAGGAGGGCTGAGCCGAGCTGGAGAAAGGAGGACCCAGCCAAACCAGAGGAGGATCGAGCTGAGCCGGAGAGGGAAGGACCTAGCTGAGCTGCAGAGGAGAGGAGATGGCAGAATTCACAGAGACCCCACAGCCAAGGCCAAGTGTACAGAGAAGGCCCGTCTCGCCAAGACCAGAGATCTGCACATGAAAACACCGGTCAACGGCTTACTCCCACCAGCAAAAGTTGGAGGCAGAGGGCTCTGAGTGAATGTGGGCTGAGGATCCTCCCAGGAACCACTGGGGTCCCAGGGCCAGCCCTGGAGCCGGCGGCAGTCCGGGCATCGGAGGCCCTGGGGCTCAGCCAGCAGTGCCTCTGCCAGGCACCAGGTGGCGCGAGAGGAAGGCGTGCAGCAGGCTGGGGAAGGGGAGTCCCTGCAGAGGACACCGCCAGGGCGGGGCATGTTCTGGAATGTTCCAGAGGGGTCAGATGAGCAGAGAGCTACTCAGATAGATCCTAAAACGTGGTTGGGCAAGAGCAGGAACTAGGATGAGGTCATGTGAGTGCGCACCCTGTGTACAAATTCTCTGCCGCTCACAGGACAGCAGTAGGGGCTCTGTGGGCTGAGGACGCACATGGCACATGGGACGGGGTGGCGGGGACATGGGGGTGGGATGGAGGGACGTGCTCACTGTGGGACTCCAGATCTGACAGGTGACAGACCCAACTCCGTGCCTGTATAGGTAAACTGGTGGCCTGTCCCATCTCTGGCTGGATGGAGGGACCGGTGGCCTGTCCAGTCTCTGATGGTTGTCCTGGCCTAGCTGGGGCGGCCTTTCCCACCTGGCTTCTGTGCCCCTGTGAACCACACCCCCCTGGCTCGCACAGCCCCAGGAGAGGTTAGGTGATGCCAGTCTGGACCCAGCAGTGTCCAGGGCTGCCCGCCCAGGGCTGGGCACTGAAGTTTGCCAAGATGAACCCCAGCCCTCGGCCTGGGCTGCCCCGAGCCTGGGCTATCCTGCCCTGGGTGGCCTTGGGGACAGGACTTGGGTGCAAGGCCTCAGCGGCAGCCCCCTCCCACTGCCCTGCATCCACACAGCCCCCACGGCATCCCAGGCCAACCATGACCTGCAGGATGGGCTGGGACACGAAGCGCCGCGGGCACCCTGGCACCCTACTCGGGGCACAGGCCTTGTTGGCTAGACGGGTGTCTTTAGAGCCCTGATAGCCCCCTGCAGTGGGGCCCACTGACCCCTGCGGTGGGAAGAGGGTCTTTGGGCCTCAGTTTCACCCCCTGCAACAGGAGGGTCTGGACCTACCCAGGCTATGCAGCTGCACAGGAGGGCTGGGCCAGGCAAGTCCTGCCTCCTGGGACCCCTCTCCCGCTGAGCCGGCGTGGCAGGAGCCCCCGCGGTACCCGTTATCTGGGGACTGTGGGCGGGGAAGTGTCCCTGGGTCCCAACACTGAAGTACGGGATGGGCTGAGGTTCCTGGAGGA